GATTTGAAAAAAACAAAAAGAATTTAGCAGCCAAACTGATGTCCTTTATACGGAAGAGAGAGCCCTTTAGACCCTCATGCAGTGTCTAAACACTTAATACAGGGTTTCAAGGGAAAAGTTATACACGTTCCTAAGACATATATTCAGTGCTCTGACTTTGACATCAGCCTCACATCAGAATCTTCTAGACTGCCTCCTCTACTTAAGGGAAGTCAAGTCCACTGATGTCGAGAAGGGTGATCTGTCAGATTGGAGTTTGCAAAACCAAAGACTACAAACCTCATCACAATGTTGATTCCACACACCTGGAATGGGGCTGTGGCAGCTGTTTTTACGAAGCCCCCAAGGTGACTTGGGACACAGCCAGATCACAAGGCCTGGGCAACCTGAAGGCTGTGACGCTTATTTCACTCCTTGACTTCACCCCTCTGAGGCAGGAATGTGACCACACGAGCCTTCCATCTCTTCCTTCCCGAAATGGTGACCAAAATGATTTGTGTACTTGCTCTGGTTCCTTCTTGAGCTTTCCCTTGGGGTGCTACTTAGTGGTTTCAGAGTATTTTTCATTTTAAGGAAATCTAAACTTGATACACACTATAGAAGGAAGAGTTTCTCTCGTGTACCAGAAAGTCAGGGGTATAGGCTTGGTTGCAACCGATGCTCAATGTGGAGGTTCAATATTAAAACCAAAGATTGTTTCCTCTCTCCTTCTTGGCCGCCTTTGGCATCACGTCTTCATTCTTCCCCTTCCTCAGATGTGCCCAAAAGAAAAAGTGAATTTTTTGTGTGTAGGCCTCGCTCTGATTGGATTCATTTCGGCCCAGGCCTACTCAGGGCCAGTTTGGTGGCCAGGGCCTCGACCCGTGGGAAACTGACTTAGCCTTGATCAGGTGCCATTCAGAGCCAGGGCTGGTGGCGGGGGGAGGCATTTATGGGACCACAGGGACTGCCCAATAGAGATGGAGGTAATTTATATAAAGGAAAAAAGTACATGTTGGCTGGTAAAAGCTAAAGTTTATTCATCCAGCATCCAGCACATAGCTACAAACTGAGTGTCTACTACATGCCAAGCATAGTTTCAGGTGTTGGCTTCAACGCTAAACAACGTAAAAATTCCTGCTCTCTGAAGTTCATCTTTTCATACAATAGGACATATCTGTGCCACTCATTGGCTGTTTAATAGCACCATGTAGCAGCACTCTAAATATACTGGGGTGTTTCTCATGTTTCTGAGGTTAGAGGAGTACAGGAAGCTGGATATGTTTCCAAATCTGTCCACCCTAATTCCCAGAACCTGAGCATGTTTCTTTACATGGCAACAGGGTTTTGCAGCTGTGCTTGAGGATTTTGAGAAGGTGGTGGTGGTGGTGGGGTTACCTCAAGGTAATCCCTGTGGGTCTTAGAAAAAGGGTGGAGAAAGGAAGGAGAGGCTGATCTTCTTGTCTGCTCAGTAGCACTGCCAGGCTCTGTAGAAGCATTGGGAAATGTGATTAAACACCAGGAGGAAAATACCAGTCACCCATGATGCCATCTCCCAGATAGAAGCATCTAATTTTTTATGCTTAATGTAGCCATATAACTTTATGCACTAGAATTACAAGTGATTTAAAAATCTTTAAAAAAAAAAAAAACAACCCTGCTCTTTAAGCCACACCTCCTTATTGCTTTATGTACACCCAGTTCCGCTCTCTCTTTCACTGAAGGCTTTAGCACGTGACTCTCATTTTATTTATATTCCACTCCCCATGATTGTGGGGGACACTGGCATCTGCCTGGAAGCCTAGAAACCTACCTAACACAGCCCCTCAGCATGCCATAAAGTATCAAGCCACCAGACACGAGGAGACGGTGCACCCTGGGCAAATGGAAAACAGGGATCCTGCCAGTTGTACTCACCCCTCTCAGTCCCGCCCCCCCCAAGCTGTTCCTTCATTCACTATCATCACAATTTAGTCAGCTTCTTTTTATTTCTTATCAGAAAGTTAAGAGCGGAGAATTAGATTCAAGTCCCGTATTACTAAGCCTTGTTATTTTTGCAGAGTACACATTGTACGTTCGGCAGCACACTGCAAAGCATTATCATGAATTATTTAAACGGAGCTATCCTTGTCACAATAAATGAGCAAAGCACATTCTGTTCATTGTCTCCTTACATGTTGTTATTTCTCTTCATGGATCCCTTACTCTGCAACATTAACTAAAATGCAATGAGCCTCAATGTCATTACTGTGAACTACCCAGTTCTGCTCACACACTGGTGTTTTGTTTTGTTTTGTTTTTAATGTGCCTAAATCATTTTTCTTCCTTCTTGCTTAGGATTCACTAGAGTTGAATGTGTTCTTGTAGTAGCACATAGTAGAAACAAGTCGACAACATGTATAATTGAGGTTTACTTTATAAGTGCTCAGATTCAATTCTTCTCTTGGGCGTCCCTGGAAGGAACAGTAGAAACTGTGGGATGAGACTTCTGAGACTTCTTTTTTAAAAGGAGCCTGAAAACATTTCTGGTGTGCATCTTATCTTATTGATCTGTTTTATAATTCCAAATGAGAGCATATCTTCTCTCAAGGGCCAGTGGAGGGATGTGGGAGTCAACAAGGAGTCAGGTCAGGAATCCGCCGGGACTGGCTGTTCTTGGGACTGGCCCTGCCTCATTCAGCTTGAGTGCTAACCCCCGTGAATACTGAGAAGATCCCAGGTGACATTTCTGTCTGTGATACTATCCATGCACAATGCCTTCATTGCCCTGCCTGCTTACACAACACACACACACACACACACACACACTCTTTTCCCAGACTGGCATTCCAACAGATTCAGTTCATTCTACTGTGATTCAGGTTGTGACAGGGATGCATAAACTGGAATCAAGAAAGATCAACAACTTAAAGCTGGGGGACTAGAACATCCACAAAATAACAAGCAGCCATTACACCTAGCAACTGAAGTAGGTAACCTATATAAAACAGAACAAAACAAACCTTTCTTTATTGCAGTCATTTTTTACTTCTTGAGAAGTTGTCAAGATAGTGCAAATACTTCCTTTATATTTTTTGCTTGGATTCCTCAGCTGTTAACATTTCACCATTTTTGTCTTTCTTTCAAATCATATAAGAGTATGTTGCAAATATAGTACCCTATGTACACTAAGCACTTCAGTATGTGTTTCCTAAAACACAAATACACATTTTTTTAAAGATGACCTTGGTTTATCTTTTTCTTTTTTTTTTTTTTAAAGATTTATTTATGCATACAGAACTAGGGTATGGGCCAGAGGTACAGGGGTGTGAGAGGATTCACCAGAGACAGAGTGGGGAGCAGAACAGGCAGATGGACAAAATACACCACTGAGGGGAGCAGTGAGCGGGTCAGGAGAGATCTGCTGCACCATGTGGGTCACCTCTGGGGTGAGGATCGAACTCACTCTGAGGCAGCTGCCGCTTGCTGGCAGTGCTACATGCTTATCCATTGTGCCACGAAGACGGCCCACGAATACACTCTTGAAAAGGCAGAGTACACCCTCCAATATCAGGAAACCCACACTGAGGGAGTATTACAGTTCTATGCACAGATTCCATCCAAAAATCCCTGATTGTTCCAACAATGTCCTTCATCGTTGTCCTTTTCTTCTGAGTCCATAGTCCAGTCCATTTAGGTTTCATGTCTCTATTGCAACCTTCAACGTGGAGCTATCTTTCAATTTTGACACTTCTTTTACTGCTTGACACCTTTGAAGAGTACATAGATCTGTACCACTTTGTTGCATGATCTTCAATTTGTGAGCTGATATTGCTTCAAAATCACATTCCTATTTCAGCAAAGCTTATTCAGGTTAATCTTGGCAGAAAGAACAAACAAAATGATCCTGTTCAATTTGTTCTATTGCTGATGATGTTGACTATCAGATCATTTGGTTAAGATGGCAAGTTGCTAAGTATTTTGTATTGATCAGTAAGTAATATGAAAGTATTCGAGTTCTTAATTTTAAATTAATCAAAGTAATATTTGAATCTATGCAAGTATCCTGTTCCTCTGTAAAACTTTACCCACTAGTTTTTTTTTTTTTCCACACACTAGTTTTAACCTCAACTAATGAGTCTTACCTGAAACAATAATCACTATGATAGTGGCCAAGTGGTGATTTTTTTTAATTCTTTACTCCTACTACAGGTTGGTGTTCTCTTGCAAGGTAGAGCTCTTCCTCCTCCCAAGATTTGTAGGTGAGGCAGCAGTTTGGATAAATTAGTGGTAAAGACTGTACAGGTCCAATGGGTGTTCAGCAACCTGTTTATGAAAGAAACTAAGGTTCTTTTTGCTCTTGCTGGAAGTGTCATTTTTATTTTAAATCAGAACATTCTGGAACTTTTATCTGGAACTACTATGCATTACAGCATGTCAAGTAAAGGATAACTGTCCAAAAAACTTAAAGAAAAATCCAGATTTATAGATTAAGCATCTAGGTTTATTTCAGGGGGTTTGGGAATAGATTGTAGGTACTTTTGTTATTACTTTTCCTCTTTAAAAATGCATCATTGAGGGCCTCCCTGGTGGTGCAAGGGGTTAAATCTCAGCGCGATCAAGCGTTTTGTCTGCCACTGCAGCACAAGTTTGATTCCTGGTCAGGGTGCTGACCCACATGGTGAAGCAGACCTCTCCTGTTTGACCTTTCTCCCACTCAGCAGTGTATTTCAGTAGATCTGCTTGTCCTGCTCCTCACTCTGTCTCTGTTGAATCCTCTCATCACCCGCACCCTGCATCTCTGGACTACACCCCAGTTCTTGTATGCATAAAAAAAAAAAAAGAATGATGTATCATTGAAAGTGGAGATGGTATTTCAAAAACTAACCTTATGTTACTTAGGATTTAATTATTTTTATAGAACATTAATTATTTTATAGAACATTAGTGAAATAACAATGATCATTATTTATATTGGATTTTTCAGTCTGTCAGTTATAGAATTAGTGTTCTACACTAAATTTCTACATCTTTCTTTCTAGGTTTGTTCAAGACTGGTTTTCAGAAAGGATGCAAGTTTCCAAAGTGGATTTCTCTACAGTGTTGCCACGCTTCATTTCTTTATATATATTTTCCTTTCTGAGTCCAAGAGATTTGTGTGCAGCTGCACAAGTCAGCTGGCCTTGGAAGTTTTTAACCGAACAGGTTTTCTACTTGTCAATTACTACTGGGCACAAATCCAACTGTTATCCCTAATGAGGAAAACGGGGTGGCTCCCTTCCCTAAAGACAGTAGCTGAGGGGATCTGAACCGTAAACTTACCCTGAAGAGGAAACATGGGGATAAGTTCAATAACGTAATTTATTTTGTTAGCAAGGGGATATATACTCTTCCAATTATGTCATTTCAATATTCTTTAAAGTCAATTTAATCTTTTAGAAAACACTTTACCTTTACTCAAGAAGTCCATTTTTTTCCCCATGAAGAAATATTTAGCTTTGTTTTTTATGTATTTTAACTGTGATAACCCAACTCAAAAATTTCTATATACTCACAGCTTCAATTGATCCCTTTGTCCAACATCTGTTAAAGTATAAATCTCAGTCTTCCATATCCCATTGATTCTGCCTTTGGTCTATTTGTCCCCCCAGTTTCTTTTAAAAGAGTTAAAACAAGGTAATGCTAGACAGACTTTCAATACAAATCAGTAGTTCTTTAAATTGGACAAAATATCCAGGGTGACTTGAGTTGAGGTTTTCAATCTCATAGCACTCTGTGGAGGTCACGTGCAAAAGCACACTGCCAGGCCTGGATTTACAGCATTAAGAACCAAGGGCAGTGCTGCTGTCTTTTTAGTTTTAACCTTTCTGTGTCCTCATATGTAAGCTGTGTGTAGTGTAGACACAATGTGGTACTAGTTGTTTTTAATGTTTGGCAATTTTTCAATTTTATACGCGTATTTAGTTTGCCTAGAGATGGTGTGTGTGTGTGTGTGTGTGTGTGTGTGTAGTGTTTTTGTTGATCCTGTTTCTTTGCAGTGATTTTTTTAAATCTAAGATTTAATATCTTTTATCAGTTTCAAGAAGTTCTCAGATGCTATCTCTTCATGTATCGATCCTGTTCCTTTTTCTCTTGGGGTTCCAGTAGCTACACACTAGATTGATTCACAATGTCCTCAAACTTACTCATTTTCATTGACTGAGACATAATTTTAAAAAGTTGTTTGTGTTTCAGTCGAGATTTTTCTTCTGGCCTATCTTTTATTTACTAATGCTTTCTTATTTGGATTATAATTTGAGCTAAACCCATCCATTGAGGTCTAAACTTCTGTCATCATATTTTTCAGTTCTCAAGGATTGCTTCTTTTGTCAAAATTTTGTACCTAGATATTTTAGACATACTAATTATAATTTTTTAAAGTTCATGTCTGCTAATTACAACTAAGTCTCCTGAGGATCTCTATTTATTAAAAACTAAAGGAGAAACAAACAGTTGTGTGTGTGTAGTTAGTTTTGATTGAGTACCAGATGTTGAATATAAAAAATTCATGGGATCATTTGAGTCTCAGGGGGATGTTTTCATCCTCCAGAGAGAATTTACTTTGCTTCTGGAATTTGTTGATATTAGGAACAGAACACTTAAATTCAATCAGAGAATGAGATATTTCAATGCTAGCTGCAGTTCTTGGGATAATTTTTCTATTTCTTATCATCCTTACTGAAAAAGATCTTTACTGAAAGTCTAGGGTGATTATTAGGGCCCTTCCCTTTAGTGGGTCATGATTTCAATTGCTTCCTTTCTCCCCTATAAGAATGCCTAAAGTGATTGCTTCTAGTCTTTCAGTCATAACTTTCTGCTCTGCTTTTTAGCTTAAGCTAAAATGTCCACAGATGGAAGTACATGTGAAACCAAACACTGTGCTTCCCTCCCTGGGTTTTCTTTCTTGCTAAGGCCCTTGTTGTACAAGTCCTTGTTATCTTACCCACTCTGTAATGTCCTCAGACATTATTTGTATAGTATTTTGTCTAAGTGTTTGATTAGGTTGACTCATGTATTTCACGGCTTTCATAGTTCAATGCTGGTCACGTGTTGGATCATCTGGACCTATCAAAGTTGTTCTCAGTGACAGAGTTAGTCTGGACAAACTACTATACCATTGCTACAAACAGGATTCTTGGAATCTAGGGTTAACATAACCAAATGCCATGAGTCCATTGAACCAGAATACAGAGATGACTATTACTTATATTTATATACAATGTATGTGTGTGCTCATCAAAGAGTATTTTTCCTGTGGAGTAGGAAAACTTATTTCTCAGAGTTAAGTTTAGATGGCAGATCAATCAAACTAGAAAGATCAACATACTAAAAGAAATTATCTATGCACATAAAACCTTTATTAGGAAACTATCTTTAAAAAATATAGCTTTAAAAAATACCCTAATATTTCTCTTTTCTTTTTCTGAAGGATTGCTTATGGATGCCCAAATGCATTAAGTTTGGGTGGTTTCTGCCCTACACACCAGCAGATAATGAGTATGGAGCATGGAAGCACCATTACATTGCTTGTGTGTCCAATTTAGATTGGCTAACACCTAGGGAGGCTGCTGCTACTTATGGCACCCTGAATGAACCCAAAACACAATATGAGGAGATGCAAGAGAGGCAGAGAGAAAAGTGCCTAAGGAAAATAATTTGGGAGAAAATTGCTCTACGTAACAGTGAGTGCATTTTTTTATTTAGATTTTTTATTGAACTAACATTGTATTATAACATCATATAAGTTTCAGGGACACATGATTAGAAGTCACTATCTGTACATTAAGTTCACCACTAAAAATCCAATTCCTTCTTCACCATATATGACCAATTTTTCCTGAATTACACCCTCCCTCTTACCTGAGAACCACTAATTTGGTCTTATAGTCTAATTTTGTTTTATTTAATTCATTCATTTTGTTTCTTTATGTGCCACATATGACTGAGTGCATTCAAAATGTTATCCAAGTACTGTAGAAACAACTGGATTTACATATAGATTCTCCCACTGAGGAGGACAGTGTTGTCTTTCTGGTATAGTACAGGAGCGGAATTCTCTAAAGAAGGTTCAAGATAAACAGCCTTTCCCCCCAACTGTATAGTTCAACTTGGTTAATAAGAAAAATAGAGTTCAGATAAAATATTGAAAGCAAATACATTTAATACTTACATTGATGTGTGCTCCTCTAGACCAAAAACAAGCAGAAGAGAAAAGTACTAACAGAGTCAAAAGCAAATAAATAGGTTTAGGACAGAAGAATTAGAACTACTGAATGAAAAGGAAAAAAAAAAGAACTATGAAAAAGGAGAAGAAATGACCATGTAAGCAGGAATAATGACACTTTTTATTTAAAAAGCCATTACTTTAAAAAAAAATAAATACTGTTTCTCAAGATGTTGGCAACAGAACATAGTACAGATGTGTATTTTATCCAGTGTTTGTCTCTATTTTTATTTCCCCAGGAGGTGAAATACCTCATTGGCTATGGGGAGCCAAAGTGTTTATTGACTGTAAGCTGGTCTTCTTGTTCACACACTATTCATTTCCTCCCCAAAGTGTCATAATCACAAATTAAACATCACGACACCTTGAGAGGTCCCATCCTTGTATCAGAGCCAAAACCACACGTCACTCCTTGATTGTTACAAGGCAGAAGTTCCTGAACAATATTGTGGCTGATAGCTATTTTATTATCTGGAAGAGCTTTAGCCCAGGTTGACCAAGCTCTCACCAACCACAAAAAAGTGGCAACCAGAGTAACCACAAAGGCAATCACAGGTAGTTTTCCATTCTTGGGCTAAGGTTCGTGTAACTATATGAACAGAGAGCAGCCGCGCAGTGCAGGAAGACAGACTGCAAATGTGACATTGGGTTGGAGAGAGGAAGAATGATCTCTGCCTCAATCCACATTACTTGGGGGGGGGGGGAGTGTCTGAATGATGCCTACTTCAACCTAAATGGGTAACCAAAAGATCCTCTCATTGTTTTATTTTTAGCAACATTAGGAGAGCAAGACACTAGAATTTCTAATTTGCCCATAAAATGTCCACCCATGGCAAACGCAAATCAACTTGATTCTAGTAGATTCTCAGGACATCTACTTGAGAATCTCGGTGAAGCTGAGCAGTACTTGAGTAAGTGAGTTGAAGATGTGCTGGAAGGAGGATATTTTCTGAAGGAAGGAAGGAAGGAAGGGAAGTCAGGGCTATGGGGTGGAAGAGGAGGGGACTGACAAACTGAGCAGCTCCAGGAATAACATTTAAAAAAAAATCAGTTACCGTTATTGAAACACCATTGTTTTATGACCTTGCAGTGTTCTGGCAGCACAGGCTTTCCCCTTGCCAGTGGTCACCACAGCACTCCCCCCTCTGGAGCACCCACAGTCCCCCACCACAGCCCACTGGGCTCTCCTCCCCGCACCCCACCCTGCCTCCCTATCCTCACCCCTCCTCGCCAAGCGTCCGATGCACTCAGCTGTAAAGGGTTGGCAAATTTGTCTTTGACTCTTTGGTTTCTTTGTGCCCACATATAAGTGAAAGCATCTGTTATTTATCTTTTTCCTTCTGGCTTATTTCACTTAGTATTATCCCTCCCAGTTCTATCCATGTTGCTGCAAATAGCATGAGTTTACATTTTTGACCCCTGAGTAGTATTCCCTTGGGTGTAAATACTACAACTTGTTGATCCACTTACCTTTTTTGGAGCATTTAGGTTCTTTCCTTATCTAGGCTATTGTAAATAGCGCTGCTATAAACATAGGAAACATAGGAGTGCAAGTTTCCTTTGAATTAGTGTTTTTTTTTTTTTAATTGGGTAGATACTTAGGAGTGGAATTGCTGGGTTTGATGGCAGATCCATTTTTAATCTTTGAGAAGCCTCCATGTTTCCAGGTGCTGGTAAGGGTGTTGGGGGAAGAGAAGGGCATTTTTAAAAGCGAGTGGAAAGGGTTAAGGACAACCTAAGCTTTTGATTTTCAGTATGTAAAAGTAATCCACAAAGCTGAGTTGAATGCTCCCATTTTTTTTCTAGTGATGTGCCCTTTGTGAGATGGTAACAAGTGGTAAATTACTAAAAGCCCAGAAGAGAGGTGACGTCTATAAATTAACTGTTTTCCACAAGAAAAGAGTTGCCCGTTCTCTGAGATTTGTTTCTTGACCTGAAATGACTGGTAACCCACAGCACAGTACTAGGAGGATAAGAAATCCAAACAGAGCCTGTAAAATTGGCTATAATTATTGGCATTTGGAGTATTGCCCTGGTGCAGCTTTATTTGTGATGCCTTTATCTGTGTAGACTTGGCTGGGAGCAGCGTGCAGTACACAGCCCAGCCTGCTGCTGTTTGTTTTTCAGAGGAGTTATTCAAAGTTCGACCCCCTTGGGTGAGCGGAACATCCTGCTCTAGATTGTTCACATCCAAATGCCAACCACGTCTCTCCCAGACTGTGAGGGATCGAGTGGGATTACACGGAGATTTGGAGAAACAGCTTGTTTTGGCATCTCTAGAAGCTTTGCCCAAGCGGTAAGCAAACCTCCATCATGGAAAGCTCAGGGCCAGCCCATGCTAAGGTATTCCAGAATACCTTAACCAGCATCCCAGGATCTTGTATGAGTGTATGGTTTGTTTCTTATGAAAAAGTATTAGAAATATTTGTTTCTTTCCTCTTTGAAAATGGAGGTCTTAAACTCTTTTTGAAGAGAGATACACAATGTTCAAAATTTATATTTCAAATATTCTTTTTTTTTTTTTAAAGATTTATGCATACAGACCTGGGGTACAGGCCAGAGGTCTGGGGGCGGTGAGAGGCTTCACCTGAGACAGAGTGGAGAGCAGAACAGGCCAACTGACTAAGTACACCACTGAGGGGAGCAGCAGGCGGGTCAGTGGAGATCTGCCGTGCCATGTGGATCACCTCCTGGGCGAGGATTGAACTCATGCTTAGGTGGCTTTAGCTTTAACCTGCTGTGCCACCAGGGAGGGCCCTATTTCAAATATTCTTCACCCTGCCAAGAGGCCACATTGTGGAAGAGTGTATTTTCTATAGAAAGTCATTAAGCAAAAATAACCTTTTTCCAGAAATGATTTTTAGAGAGTAAGAGTACTCAAAGGTGGCCCTCCCTGCTGGCACAACGGGTTGAAGCACAGCACTGAGAAGCTAAAGCCGCTTCTGCATGAGTTCGATCCCCGCCTGCCCCAGAGGTGACCACATGGCGTGGCAGACCTCTCCTGACCCGCCCGCTGCTCCCCTCTGCAGTGTACTTCGTCTATCTGCCTGTTCTGCTCCCCACTCTGTCTCTGGTGAAGCCTCTCACCGCCCCTGAGCCTCTGGCCTGTACCCCAGTTCTGTATGTACAAATAAATAAATCTTTAATAATAATAAAACGTACCCAAAGGGCACTGTGGGGGTTGGGTGGCTGTGCAGAAATTGGAACCGTTCCTCAGAAAACCGTGAGACCCAAATGATTAAGGAATTTAAAAATCTTCTCGCTACTCATTTTTAAAGTGTCTTTTGAACCCAAGTCTGTCACACCTTTGTTTCAGATGCCCAACAAAAGCAAAGTAAGTCTCCAGAGACCTTTTGGGTGTCCCACAAAGGTAGGAACAGGTGCCCTACTGGCCAGGACCCCTCTTTGCTGCTGCCCCTGTGGCCACATGTCTTCCTAGTGTAACTGAACCCTAGATTGTCAAATTTAAATTTAGAGAAAATTAAAACTGCACTCATCCCCTCCTGCTCCCCACAGAAGCAATGTTTCTGGCACCCATTCCTACCCTTTATTATCAAGGAAAAGTTGGCATGAAGTTTATAAAAAGGATGACAGAACTTCCTGTGCACGCCAGCCACACTTCATATTAATATCATCTCGGATTCCTGCTTATGAGGTACGGGCAGTGTTGTGAGATCAGCCCTTTCCTGAATCGGCTTTTTTTTTTTTTTTTTTTAAATCTGACCTAGAGGATGTAAGGCAATCTTGGGCTGCCATCTGGATGAAAATGATTCATCTCCTAAAAGGAAAACAGTCTGATCTAAGTGGAAATTTACAGACCCCAAACTGTTTAAAAACCAGAAGCAATAAAGACAACCATAAATCAAAATTATCTTTAAAAAAGTATGAAACACCCATATTGCCTTGCTCTTAGTACATGTCCAATAAATTCTTATTGAATTGAATTCATTGCATATTATTCAAAAATAAAGTGACTAAAAATTATCTTAAAGTTTCTAATACCCCCAAAATTTAATAATTCTATAGAATCTTCATCTCTTAAAAGAAGAAAGATATCCTACTTTGTGATCTGCTTAATGATGGTGTCATTAAATTAAAATATATAACTTCATTATAGAAAGAGCATACTTTAACATGTATAAGCAAAATAAATGTACAAGCAAGAAACAGGAAGTATATATTTGCATGTATGTATGTCTGCTTATATAGATGAGTACATGTATGTGTGTTCATGCACATATGGGAACATTACATTTAGAAGGTTATATTCATTAGCATACTTAGAAAGTTTCCTAAAAAACAAACTTTAATTTGTAATCAAATGGTTATTTTCAAGATGTGAAATCACTTGTTTTTCTGAACCTGTGTGACTATGCTTAAAACTGGATTTATATCATAGATCACAAAACACAGATAATTTCCCCTGATGTTTATAAATGCATCATGCTGGGAATGGAGGCTAACTGGGATAACCTGAAGAGGCTGGCCTAGAGAAGTCCCTTCTCCTACCGTTCTTTTCATTATAACCCAGTGTCACTGTTACATACCTGGTAATGAATTTGCTAGCAGTTTAGGCTAAAAATAGAATGGAACGATGTGGTAGCTCTCTAATTGAACTGTGACCTTCAGAAAGTACATGAGGTTTCAGAAAAATCACTGACTTCAATGACTTTCCACTTGTCTGCTCTTAATAATGACAATGAAGTTAATTTCGTCGCTGAGTTCAAAGAGTACTGGTTTTAATACTTTAATGAAAAATAACAATATTGATAGCTCAAACATTCATAGCTAAAAGGAAAACTCTAAATGTAGCTAAGAAGGCCATTACAAACTGGTGTGAGCTCAATGTCATTATTTTTTAAAAGTTGGATGCATCGCTGTGCGTGGGTGTGTACCAAGATAAAAAGGCTGGGGAAATAACCTAAGTTAATAGTATTTATCTCTGAGTCATGGAGTTACAAGTGCATTTAATTTCTCCTCTGATAATTAGAAAGGAGATAATGTGCAAAATAACCAATGAAGATGGAAAAGGCTCATCTTCCTCCTTTTATAACCTCTGTAAAAACAAAAAGTCATAAATGACAATGTAGGCCAGATTCATTATGTTTTTTATTGCCAGTATTCTAAAGTAGGGGTTTTGGTGACTAAAGCTTTGGTTTCATTTTCCAGATGGTGGTGCACAGCATCAGGGCAGGTGTAATTTCTGTGGTGTATGAACACAATGGCATAACCTTGGAGAGCCTGCTTTATCTTATAGAAAAAGCTCTGGATGGGCAGAAGGCACAGAGCATGGGACTATTTAGTGATGGTGATAGCAGAGAAATCAATTTAGTTCAAGGTAAGACTGGGGATTTGAAAGAACAATGTTGCCCTGATGTGGCAATAGCCCACATGTATGACGTCAAGTTCTATTTAATTTCCAGTTTGCTAAGAAGAGAGAGATCCAAATTCAAAGCAGTCAGATAGGAGTTCTCACTTATCAGGAGAGGATCAGTGTTTTTTGTTCTGACCTTCAGCTGATTGGATGAGTCCCAGTCACAGTAGGAGAGCGCTCTTCACTCAGTCTACCTATTCAAGTGTTAACATCTTCCCAAAACCACACCCAGAACAATGTTTGACCAACTATCTAGTACCCCTGGCCAGTCAAGTTAACTCATAAAATTAATTGTCACACCATTGATCCACAGCCCTTTTCCCCTCCCCTCTAGACCTTAGATTATTCCATTTTTTGTTCCTGTGAACTTGACTACTTTTGGTACCTCACATAAACAGAATCATACAGTAAGTAGTTTATTTCAGTTAACATCCTCAAAGGATTCCCTCCTTTTCACGCTGAATACTATTCATTTTACATATTTATTCATTTGTTGAAGCTGTGGGTGGCTTTTACCTCTTGGCTGTTGTAAACAGTGCTGTTGTGAACAATGTGTGCTTATATCTCTTTAGATCTTGCTTTTAATTCCTTTGGATATGTACATAGGAACGGAATTCCAGGGTCATATGGCAGTTCTATTTTGATTATTTTGAGGACTCACTATCCCATTTCCACAGTGGCTTTGTCATTTTATAATGCCCACAACAGTGCACAAGGCTTCCAGTTCTCATCACCATAAATATTATCTTATTTTTTGTGGATAGTGGCTTTCCTGGTGACTATATGGCAATATCAATTATGATTTGATTTGCAGCTCTCTGATGATTAGTGATGCTGGGCCTTTTTTTTACATGCTTGTCATTTGTATGACTTCTTTATGCAAGAATCTATTTCTTTATGGAAATATAGATTCCAGTCTTTTGCCCATTATAAATTGAGTTATTTGACTTTTATTATTGTTGCAGTCATTCTTCATATAATCTGGATATTTACCTCCTTATCGACTATATGATTTTCTCTCATTATGTGGATTGCCTTTTATCTCATCAATATTTCCTTTAATGCACAAAAGTTCTTTAATTTTACGAAAGTGAGCAATTTCAATAGCAACAAATACAAAGATCTATAAATTGACATGTACTAATAGCATTTGTTACACTCTCAAATGGTTTCTATGACAAAGGAAAAGAGTAGTGAATATCATTAACTTGTTACGGGGCCATCTTATTAACATTACAAGGTAATTTGTTGGGGGGGGGGAATGAGAACCTTTGGTGTCTCTTATTCTTCATTCTATATAGTGAAGAATTGTATAGAATGTATCCTTCCTTGCTTATAGCTAAAACAATTACTTCAAGTTTAACTAGAATGAAATCTTCCACCTGTGTGGGACAAGGGACTAAAGAGAATAAGCTGAATAAAGACTCAACTGGCAGACAGATGGGAAAATGAATACTTAAATCATCTCTCTGTGGCTGGAACTAAGCATTCTTGGGACAGTTTTAGAATTTCACTATTTGAAAAGGCTGACTGCTTTTGGTTAGCTTCACCTTCCATTTTGGCATTTCCTGTTGAGCTTGCTTGTGCCTTGAGCAAGTTGTGTTCTGTATTCTCTGTATATGTTCCCTCAAAGTAAAACACAGCTACTTTTTGCTTTGGGGTTATATTTATGGCTAATTAGTATAGTGGTATACATGGTTCCCCTTCTCTGAATGGTGGGAATACAATGGCCAAGTTTATAGCTGGGGGATAGAATGGACATGCTTCCTAGGGTTTCCTGAGCACTCTGCCTTTTGTCTTCCAGATGAAAAAGAGGTCTATTTGTTCTTTCTTTAAGGCAGTAGTAACAACAACAAAATGTCAGAAAAACTAAAGTTTCCTTTGATAGAGCTTTTTCCCCCCAAAAGCTTTTTCTTACAAACAGCAAAATGAAATCACTTAAAGCAGTCACCTAACGGCACTTCCATGTGTGAAGAGCCATCCATGGGACGGGGTAAACCTTTCGGGGCCTAGTGACTGGCACAGTTGTCATTTCATCTTGGGGTTTAGAAATACAGCATCTCCAAGACTCCTTTAGAAGCGGATGCAGGCCCTCCCTGGTGGCGCAACGGGTAAAGACACAGCACTGGCCGCAGTCGTTTTAGTCTGCATTCCATCCCCAGCCTGGAGGTGATCCACAAGGTGCAGACCTGTTTCCCCCACTGCTCCCCTCAGCAGTGTACTTTGTGTATCTGCCTGTTCTGCTCCCTGCTCTGTCTCTGGTGAAGCCTCTCACCATCCCTGCACCTCTGGCCTATACCCCAGTTCTATATGCATAAATAAATACATCTTTAAATAAAAAAAAAGGAGCCAGTCCAGATAACTGCAAATGGGCTGTGTCATTGCACAGAAAGCTGCCTTTTCCATTTCTGGGTGCTTTGTGTCGGCGCCAAATGATTTATTTTTTGATTGGCATTTGTGGGAAACATTTCTGCTTTGGAACCTGGTTGCAACATTCCAGGTTTGAATGACTGGTCATCCATTTTAATTCTGCAGTGAGCCTGTAACTCACATTGCTGCCCAGTGAGGGCAGAAACACAATGTTCAAGGTCTACAGTTTCCATTACCCAGAATTTGATGGTGATTCTGGCCACGATGGAGCCAGCCACGCCTTATGTGGCCCTCACTTAGTACCACATAGAAGCCAAGGTGTCCTGCAAATCTTGGCTTTACAGGGCATGTTGACTTCCTGAGTTGTGACTCCATTTCACACAAGCTGCTGAATTTCTGTTCATGATAATGTACAAACTAATATGATATTTTGATTTTCCTCAGGCTGTAGGATTAGTATTAAGAACTTATTGAAGCCTGAAGTGAGAGATTTCTGGGAGAAATTAGGAAGCTACGTGGCGACCGAAGAAGAAGGGGGTCATGTGGACCTCTTTGTACCACTGGGAGCATCAGGTGAGATTTGAAAGGTGTTGCCCACTGTCTGAGGACATTTTATGAATTTGTGAAATGCCCTCAGGTCACTTGACTCATTCACATAAACTTTTTTATATCTTACTTTCTTTTTGCTTCAGACACTCAAGCATTTAGGGGCCTGGGGTTGGGATAGTGGTCAGAGTAACCTGTCTCTGGGGAAATAAAGTTACCCAGCAGCATTATTTCTGCTTCTTCTGGAAAACATTAAAAGCAGATTCCACAATCTGGAGAGTACCTCACTGTAATCCGTCAAGCTGAAAAAACGCAGAAAATTCTGAACCCAGAATCAGTGAGATGAACTAAGTGACCAAGGTCCTGGCCTTGGATGTCCCTGTCCCCCCAACCCTGTGGTCCCAGGTAGGTTCCTGGACCTGTGTGCTCACATGAAAGTTCAAACAACAGTTACCTTAGCTTAGCGGACTTGTGCCTGTCAAAATAATGTCAATACTGAAACAAACTATAAATAACAAATGTTTAAATGATATTAGAATATGAGAAACAATGGAAAGGAGTGTGAGTGATGATGGCTGAGGCAGCTACCTTTATGGGATCATCCTCTATAATGCAAAATTTATTTCAGTACTAGAAGGGAAATTTCAGCGACATTAAGCCAAATTCACTTTTTACAAATCTGTTGAATAAAAGTTCTGCATTCCTGGGCTCTGGCTGTTGTTTTAACAAGCCGAGTAGAGGAGAGAGAATGTGAAATTTTTTCAAACTGCTTCTTATTACGCATGTCTTAGGAAAGCATGAATTTTAAAGTTCTTCTCAAGTCTGTTTTCACTGACCATTGAATACATGTGAAGCCTGTCGCTGGCAAGCTTCAACCAAGAAAAAGGAAAAAAGACAAAAGGATAGAAGGGGGATTAAAAGAAAATAAAATGTGAACTATTGTAAAAATATTTTCTCAGTTATTAAACGCTGCAAAATATGCAGAGTTTATATGCATAGAACAGAAAATATGCATAACAAATCTAGGAGGAACTGTAACAAGATGTCACAGCTTCTCTGGCTAGAGCATATGTTGAGCTAGCAAAGCACAGGGCAGGCTCTCCCCATCTGGGAGACGTAAAGGAGCGCCCTGGAACCCTCAGTGGCTTTTCCAGGCTTTTATTGATCTTTCCACACCGAGGAAGCAGGCAGGGCCGGCAGGCAGGGGCTCCGGGTGGGGCGGCGGGCAGGCCTCCCAGCACCCAGAGAATCTGTACACGGTTCCCTTTGGGGGCTCTGGAATTCTCTAGCGTCCCTTCTCTCTGTACCCACCTGCAGCTGCAGCCTTAGCCGCTCTCCCGCTCTCCGCCGCTGCACACTGTCTCCTGCCACGCTGTGCTCTGGGTGATGCAGCCCTTCCAGCCCTCACCTCGTAGGCTCAGGTGTGCATACTTAAGCGTGCCCACGCCTCACGCCAGGTGTCCACCATCCGGCATGCGCGTCCCAGCCCACGCGCCCAAGGCCTCCTGCCTTCAAGGCTGCAGTCATAGCCACAGAAGCCAGCAGTGCTAACACCTGAGCAATCTTCATTGCCCTTACAGGGAGCATTCAAAGTCCTTGTTGTGATTTGCAACCTCCTCCAGAGCACACATTTCCGCTTTTTTCACTCTTATCACCATGCCTTTGTTTTCTTGGTTCTTTTCCTTATTCAACTTGGATTTAGTAGGTCAATGTTGTCATTACCCTCTTGCAAGGAACATGAAATTCTTTATTTCTCTCCTGGCTAAAACCTAACTCATTTGGCTAGGTTCCAGGGCTGGTTAAAAGATAATTAACCACACAATCTAGGGCTGCCTGCTCTACAGTGGCTGAGGACTTGTTACAAAAAACAATACAGCTGTTTTTATTAACTCCCTATATTGCCCCATATATTAATTTCAGTCAAGGGAAATCAAGCTATATGCTGAACTCAGTAATTCAGTCTATGCTCTGTCATTGATAAAAGGGTCAAATCAATGCCAGGCTAAATTTGGACAATTTAGCAGCTACCTTTTGTGTTTCCCAGCTTTAAAACTATCCTCTTACAATGAAACTGCTCCCTGAAATCAGGCTATTTTAGTAAATATCCTTTATCGTTAGTCTGATGATGCCAAGTTTAATTTTTGAGCTCTGGGTCCAATATCATGCCCTCTTTCTGCACCCTGTTGTTCAATTCTCATAAATGAAGGGTTATGGGTGAACTCTAAAGTGTTCACGGAGGACTTGACTTGAAGATGAGAACTGTCATTGACCTTTCTTGGGGCAACTCATTAGTGCCCCTAAGTAAAAATTAACTGTTCCATGGCAAACCCTGTGAAACTAATCAAAATATTTTTGACTGTAGAGGCTGGAATAGAAGTTCTTTCTCAGCTGTCTCAACTAACTGGCACATTATTTACTGCCCCCACGGGGATTGCAACCGGCTCCTACCAGCACAGTAAGTGTATACGGGGCTGACCGCCATGTCCAGTCATATCGCCAACTCCAGGGTCAATGAAAGACAAAGCACAGCTGGTCATGCTGGTTCTGGTTGATGTCAGCTACTATCTCTCATTCCTTCTCTGTCACTTCCCAAACTATGTAATTTCCGATCACTTATTTCTTTAGAAGGGGATTATTTATTGCACATATTTGCTTCAAGCCATTATTCTCAAAGCCTGTCAAAAACATCCTCTTTAACAGGCAAAGATTATAGCTACTGATCTAGAGAAATAAGCACAAAAGATAATTTTTCTTAGTACAATATAGTCAATATGGGTACATTTGAAAAAAATCAATTATAGCTGTAAAGAACCGGTGAAGAGATTTGTTCAGGTTCCAATTTGGTAGCATTTTCTGACAGGAAAACAGTCAAAGGTAAAATATACCTGACGTAAAATTTCATTTGGATACAGAAACTGCAAATAAAGGAGCAAAATATAACATTGATGGAACAAGTGAACTAACTTGTTTTGCTACAGTAACCATTTCCCCCTCCCCTCTTACCAAACAAGATTTGGGGTGATAAAAGAACTATATAAGCTTGTTTCTCTAACCCCACATGCCAAGGACCTTAAAAGACTGGGAGAAGCTGGCATGATTGGAATTGTGTAAGGAAAAATATTCCATGTAGATAAAACAAAAAAAAATCACACAGACCTAATAGAGTTTTCAAGCAGAAATCTCATATTAATTTCAGTCTATGTAGCAACTCTCTAAAGGACAGCATATTTGGTCCTGTGGAGAACGGATTCAACCTAACGGAATGAAACAGAGCACAGATGCTGAGGTTTGTAAGGTGGAACAGGTTTTCTTCTGTCTCTTCTTCCTCTATTCATCTTCCTTTTCCCTCTTTTCCTGTTCTACTTCTAGAAGAACACATTATAAAGAATTTCACATTTATCAGTAAAAATAGGGCCATCAAATAAGGCAATCTATTTGCTTAAAACAAACAAACAAAATCAAACTTAACAGAGACTGTGTCATTCAGCAATTTACTTTCAAGGACAGAAACCCCCCAATGCTGTCATGTAGATTTTTATGGAAAAAGACAGCAGCTTGCGTACTGACACTCTGTAACAAAGCAAGGAATTGGCTACCATGGGAATGCCTTTGTATGGTGTGACAGGGAAACCAGCAGAACTTTTCTTGTCTTTTCATTTTTAGAAATAAGGAGAAAGCAGTATATTCTCACTGAAGTATCTATGCTGCTTCCCAATGTACAAGGCCAGCAGCTATTTATTTTTTTTTACTTCAAATATGCTATCCCAGAACTTACCTGTTAGATAGGTATTTGAAATTATTCATTGTGTCCTTTTTAAATTTCTGATTTACCTTTGAGAGCTGACTGTGAAAAAGAGCGATAAACTTGAGATAAATACATGTAAAAGTGTTTGTTGTATGTTAAACAAAATTAGACTATTTTTATCTGCACTCAAGTCTGCAATAATTAATGGATAAATAATATCAGTTCTCAGTGACTGGCTGGGACAACAGCAAGAAACTGCTCCTCCCACCCTCTACTTCAGCCAGTCAAAGCTGCAGACTTGGGCCAGCTTCATGGACTTCTTGGAAGACACCTTGAAGTCAGTAAGGAAACAGTTAAGTCCTCTCTTCAAGGAATTGCGGAAGAACATCAGCGGCAGGATGATAGGTAAGAGCTTTTGCTTCTACTGCAAGTTCATTGTGAAGTTTGTTTCATAGCAGAGTGAATGTAAGTTTAGGCATGACACAAGGAAAAGTGGACCTATGAACATCTTTGATAAAATTTTATTCCCTTTGTTTTCATATCTCCTTTCAAATAGAACAGATATCCACTAAGAATGAATCTATTCATCCTCAAAATGCTGAAGCTGGTGTATTTTGATATTTTACCATTCTTTAAGTATTTGCTAAGCTAGAGAACTCTGCCTTTTTCTCACTAGTTTGCTCTAAAAGTTAAGCCCCTCCTAGACCACAGTACACATTACTTAAATTGCTCTATCCCTGTTCTATTGATTTGCTATCTAAGAGTTAGAATTTTGTGACGGGCTTCTTGCTTTTCTGCTGAACCTATTGGACACTATTGAATGTATTTTCCCATTTCATACTCATAGCTGAATCATTACAATAGTATCTTTTGGAAATAATTTTCTGTGTCAACTGTATCTTCACTTAAGTCAGTTTATTCTTTAAAATGAAGTTGGGCGCTTTTTTTGTTTGTTTTAGTTTTTACTTTCTGGGAAAACAAGCCCCCCTCACTGAGTCTTTGCCAATTTTTTACTAACTCTACCCATTTAACGAAAACATCCTCTAGATCAAATCCTATCTGTATTTTCTTCCTGTCCCCTACCATTCAAAATATTAAAAATATTTTAAAAAACCATAAAATATGTTTGTATGTTGTTTCCCACAGACTTAAAATAGGTGTGTATTTGAGTCCAAAGTGCAGAGGGGTTTTGATGTATCGAGAAAACACAATTTAAACTTGCAAGTTTTATTTCTTGTGTTCTCTTTTTTGTTGTCCAATTGATAGATTTCATTTAGTAACAGCTTTGCTCAGTTGTATGGTGAGAGCTAGAATTGGAATTGTAGAGGTAACCTTAATGTAGCATAGATATATACTGATTTAAAATGATATATACCAGAAACTTATATAATGTTAACATGTTACTTCAATAAACAGTGAAACAACAACCCAAAATGCTATTAGCTTTGCCAGGATGGGCACTTTCCTCTGGTGCACAATTTAGTTGCTTTTGCTCATTTTGCATTTTATCATGGGAAATCATTCTCATGACATAATAGAAATTTTATCCTTATTCTTTGCATCTTTGTTTATTAAAAAGCAACTGTGAGATTGTGATTTTTTAAAATCAGATATCTTTCATAAATTAATTACAAAACATATGGCTTTATATTTACAGGGCAGTTTATGTTTGATACAATGAATATGGCAAATATTCTGAATAACCAAGAAATTGCACAAACCCTGGCAGATGGATTGACAGAGCTCTCAAAAGAGAATCCTGTAAGTGTTTATTTTGAAGAAAGCAGATACAAAAGCCCTGACACATACATATGTTTTCAGTTTACGTTTACTGTTCTGTACCATTTTTATCCCTCTGGGGACACAATTCCTTAGAGAGCACAAGTTTGCAAAACCAACAGCTGAGGGATTCTGAACCAAAAAACGTAATAGGTACACCAAATAAACAACAGGAAAACCTTCTAGGTTCTTGAAAAGTTGATTACATTGTGCATTATTTTCTGACTTGAGATCAGTTCAGTTAGAGAGGGCTCAAATCCCTCTATTCTACTGTCGTAATTCTACTTCCTGGGTAGATCTCACACTGTTTTTGCACACACTCTTTATCATGTGCCTGTTCTGGTGTCAGCGTGACTTCTGGGGTAAGCAGCAGACATCTCCAGGCTTAGCAGCCACTGGCGAAGCGGAGCCTGAGAGCTGCAATGGCCTATGAGATGTCTCTTCTGAAGACCCAGTTCTGCAGCACGTCAGCCAACCCTCACTCAGGCAGCCCTGGTGAACTTCAGGAGTGTTCACACGGGTGAGCCCAAGGTCTTGAAGGATCCTGCATAGTTTCCTGAAGCCAGAGACTTACCAGACATCCTTGGTGTTCAGTGATCTTGTTGCCACCTAATCATTTTTTTTTAAAGATTTATTTTTGCATACAGAACTGGGGTACAGGCCAGAGGCTCAGGGGTGGTGAGAGGCTTCACCAGAGACAGAGTGGGGAGCAGAACAGGCAGATCGACGAAGTACACTGCTGAGGGGAGCAGTGGGCGGGTCAGGAGAGGTCTGCAACGCCATGTGGTCACCTCCGGGGCAGGTGGGAATCGAACTCATGCGGAAGTGACTTTAGCTTCTTAGTGCTGTGCTTTAACCCGCTGTGCCACCAGGGAGGGCCACCACCTAATTATTTACAAATAACTGACTATGATATAAGTTGGATGGTGCTCACACCTGTAGCCTGAGGGGGAAGCATGTTTAGAGGCCTCTCAGGGCATGTTTCCCAGTGATCCAATTGTGTAGCCTCTTCCAGGCCTTCTTTCCCTTGAAAGACAAAGATTCCCTCGTTTCCCTTCATTGCTGGGTGGGCCACGTTGGGTCCAGCGATCTTGAGACCTCCCATAACAATGGCGTCCTAACTGAATTGCAACCAGTAAGCTAAAACTAAGATCAAGTAGAATGTTACATATGTTGACTAATCAAATAATAATTACTGTTTTTAGGACTTATGCATTCATTAGGTAGAAGGCTTAAAAGTACCAAAAGTTATGTTCTCTTTTCTGCTGCACTTTTGTTGACTTGTATTTCAGATGAATGTTTTAAATAGGAATTCTTTGGGGGTATTTCAGGACAAACCACTGGAATTTCTGTCATATTTTCTACTGAAGAAGTGTAGTAAAAAGACTGAAGAGGTTGAAGGAAATGTTAGTCTGATGAAATCTGACCCCAAAGCAACATTCAGTTTATTCGTGAAGGTAAAGTTATTGGCTTATTTTATTTTTATTTTTTAAATTTTTACATCTTCCTTCATTTTGTGCATGTTTCCATCTTGGTCATAATCCCCATAGGCTTCCCGCTGCCAGTTCACCCCTGTGCCGTCCTCACAGTCCCTTGCGCTCTTCCTAGCCCAGTTTTGATTCCATTCTCTACTCTACTCTGGTAAAACATCTCTGATGTATAGTTGTTCATTATTTTGATGCCGTTGCTTTACTGTACTTAGACACACATGTTAAGAAATTCACACATCACAGCGATAATTCTACCTGGAAAGCTTTTAATTTGTCATTCCTTTTAAGAACGTTATTTTCATAAATTATTATTAAAAAGGGTGTTTTATAGCTCCCCAATATGAGTAGCCATTTAAGCCTCTCAGAAGCATACACTGCACCATGTTGACCGGAATAACAATATTTGAGTCCTGGGGGAAGAGTTGGATGTCTGTTATTTATTTACTGGGGTTCTGAGGAAAGCTAAAGAGAATTTTTATTTTTCTACTTGCAGTCCAGGAGAGGGGTGTGTGTGTGTGTGTGTGTGTGTGTGTGTGTGTGTGTGTGTGTGTGAAACTAACAATGGTTCTTCTATTTTTTTGTTGACATTCATTCCATTATAAAGGGCCCCTCCCTAGTGGTACAGCGGGTTAAAGCATAGCACTAAGAAACTAAAACCACTTCAGCATAAATTCAATCCCTGCCTGCCACATCATGTGGCAGACCTCTCCTGACCCACATGTTGCTCCCCTCAGCAGTGTACATCATCAATCTGCCTGTTCTGTTCCCCACTCTGTCTCTTGTGAATCCTCTCACCCCTTAAGCCTCTGGCCTATACCCCAGTTCTGTATGCTTAAATAAATAAATCTTTAAAAAGGGGGGGCTTGAACAAAAGGGGAGCTTTGAAGCTAATCCTTGAGGTAAAAAAGAATAATTCTGCCTATACTATCTTTAGAAAACATACATCCTTGGTGAAATAACATAGCCAGGTTACAACAGGATGCACTGAAAGTTGCATTGTCATTCAGAGAGATGATTTTTATGGAAATGTCATTTTAGAACCATTTTGTGTCCATGAAAAAATCACAAATCTAAAAAAAAAAATCACCAATCTTTGGTCAGCTGAGAGTTGGGACACTACTCACCATAAATTCCCCACAGAGATGGTAGAAATAGATGTGAGTTACCCCAGCAGACAAGTCATCTGTTGCCCTACCCACTTTTGATACTCTGGATGTCTTTGCCAGCAGTTCTTTAGAGAATAACACAGTGCAGCAATGTGCAGACAGGAGGTACAGCTGCTGGCAGTCTCCCCTCTGCCATGCAGCCCCAAACTTGCTCAGTAAAATGAAAGGCCCTGCAGTTATTTGTTTTTCAGACTGACCACCTGGTGTTACCCTAGCAAGACCCTTTGTCTAACTCCCCACTTCTAAAGAGACGTTCTCTTTCCGACCACATGCATCCACCTGAGAGGAGCCCTAATGAACACATTTCTGTGGAGAGCTCATTGCCCTGCTTCCTGTTGTCCCACCCCAAATCTGTCTTTTTAGGAAACCCATGGACCGCACTTCTGTTTCCCCAGAAACAGAAACAGTAGGATGAATAGATGTAGAAAGATTTGTTATAGGAATGTGACTTGCATAATTGTGGGGGAAGCCGCTTTTGAATTTCCTACCCAGCAAGGAAAATTTATATTTAAAAACTGCTGCTGGTGAACCAGAAGCAAAGCCCGGGCATGAGCAAGCAGGTTCTAAAGTAATCAGGCAGCGCTGCCGTCCTTGCCAACACCCAAGAGCACAGCCGAGCATGGGCTGAGGCCCCAGAGCGGGGCATCTCCCTTCTGTGTGATCCTCACTGTGTCCTATACTGTCTGGGGGGTCCTTAGCCTTGGCCTAGACAGTTTAAATGCAATTTTCATTCATTAATTAATGGGGTGTCACCATATACCTGGTGAAGTTATCATTTCTTTTTTTTTTTAAATTAAAGATGTATCTTATTCATTTATGCATGCATTCATTCATTCGTTCGTTTCTGCATAGAAGAGGTGGGGTGTAGACCAGAGGTTCATGGGGTGAGAGGATTCGCCAGAGACAGAGTGGGGAGCAGAACAGGCGGATGGACTGACAAACACTGCTGAGGGGAGCACAGTGAGAAAGAGGGGAGAGGTCTGCTGCACTCTGTGGGTCAGCTCCCTGGCTGTAGATGGAACTTATGCTGCAGTGCTTGTAACAGCTTGATATCACTGAGACTTCCTCTGAGCCACCAGGGAGGTCCTAAAATGAACATTTCTTGATAGAAATAATTGAAACTATTGTTTGTTTAAATGAAGAGAGTTCACTCACACTTTTTGAATCACTGTCAGAATTCAAAGTAGGTTTTTCTCTTAGCACATGTCTAAGTACATGCCAGGTGGATGTGGGGAAATCAGCAGTGGGAAAGACAGGAAATCACGGAAAGACGCTGGAGCCCTGGGAAGCACCAGGCTCAGGTGGGGGCCACTCTGGCCAGGGAGAGGGGGCTGACTGCAGCCTGGGAACAGGGCTCTATAGGAGGGCTACAGGCACCCTAAGAAATGGCAGAGATAAAGAAAAATTGTCATGGGGGCCTCCCTGGGGGCACAGGGGTTAAAGACTCAGCATTATCAAGCTATATGGCCACTGCACTAGGGGTTAAACTGCAGGCCAGGGAGCTGTCCCATGCGGCACAGGAGACCTCTGCAGCCTGCCCCGCTGCTCCCGCTGGCAGTGTATTTCAGTCCATCCGCCTGCTCTGCTCCCCAACTCTGTCTCTGGTGAATCCTCTCACCCCCCAACCTCTGGCCTACACCCCAGTTCTTGTATGCATAAGTAAATCTTTAAAAAGAAAGAAAGAAAGAAAAAATCGTGTTTGCCTGAAGAGAGTACTATGAAAAGGAGTCCTGCTTACAAATACATGTTTTTCTTCCAGTGTCGCCCCTGGGCATCAAGGTGTCACATGGACAGGTTTATCTGTAACGAGAAAGGGCAGCAGGTATGGCCCTAAGCTGTGAAGGCTCATGCTGACACAGGACCATTGCTCTGGGGCCAGAGGGACCCTGGGATCTGTAAGCAGCCCGCTGTGGCTCTTGTTTCCCACTTAGTGTATATTTTATTTACTTCTACTTCAACTCATTGTAAAGTTTTAGATAATGCAGCTGCTTTTTTTCCTCTTTTTTAAAAGATTTATTTATGCATACAGAACTCGGGTGCAGGCCAGAGTGCAGGGGTGGTGGGAGGATTCACCAGAGACAGAGTGGGGAGCAAAACAGGCAGATGGACGAAGTACACTGCGGAGGGGAGCAGCAGGCGGGTCAGGAGAGGTCTGTTGCATCATGTGGGTCACCACCAGGGTGGGGATTGAACTCATGTTGATGTTGACATGGCTTTAGCTTCTTAGTGCTGTGCTTTAACCTGCTGTGCCACCAGGGAGGGCCCGCAGCTGCTTTGTAAATGTGATTTTCTGTGTCGAAGCCACAAGAACCAGTAATAAGGTAACATGAAGGAAGAGTCAGCCACATCTAAATGAGGAAACAAGTCTGGAATGGTTTCTGACACATTTCTGTTAGGTGACAAAGGAGAGAATTTTATAATGTGTTGTGAGGCTTTTCTTCTGGCATCTTAAAAAATAACCTAGTTGTCAACTGACAAGTGACAGAGCAGAGCTAAGGTGAAGCCCATCCCCCAGGAATGTGTGTGTTTCTTAGCTGTTAATAGCTGTATCACTCCCCTGGCACCCGGGGAAATAGGAGCTGCCTTGAATTTAGCAGCTTATATATAATGTAGTTACTAGGAAGCTAAAGGTTTATTTTTAAACATAAAATCTAATTTGAGAGAAGCATCAAATTGGTCAAGGGCCAAATTCGCTGTGTCCAGAGAGCGCTGTGATGAGGGCTGGAGGCAGATAGCTACAGTCTCCTGTGCAGTGTGGACCGAGTGCTCAGCGATGCCAAGGCGGGCCTCCAAGTAACCCAGCCTGCATTTAATCCTCAGGAAAGAAGTGTGCTAGACGACAATCCTCAGGACACAAAGTCAAGTCTCAGCAAAAATGATCCAACTGTTGAGGTGCTGGTTAAGCTGGTAAGCTAATTACTACACAGGTGTTTTTCATTTGCTTTGCTCCTGACAAAAACAAAACAAAACAAAACAAAGCAAAGCAAACAAAACCTCCTTCTGTCTTTATTCTGGTTAGCTTTTCTTTTTCCTTGACAGTTTCCCTGGGGGAAGGGAAGTCCCACATAAAATTCTAGGAGTCCAGCTGGTAGATGTTTCTTTTGAATAAGCCCTGGACTGGAAAGAAATTGCACCAAGAGGATGGAAGTGTGGTGTCTTGGGAGCAAGAGCAAGCGCCAGTCTTTTCTAACATGATGCACGAATGACAGGGATGAAATGGTTCATGGGCATAAAGGTTCAGTTTCTCACCGACCCACCAAGTTATGGCCTGACTGCAACCATCAAGCATCATCAGTGTAACTTTGAGGGCTCTGTCTTTCGGTTTAGGAAGCTAGGGCCTGGAGCGACTTGTTTCTGTCCCACCAGAGTTGCACAGCATGCTTGCACAAGCGTGTATTTCTTCAAGGCACATGCGTGCTTGTTATCATATTTCATTCTCAGAATCCTGTAAGATAGAGATGAGTAAGTTTATACATTATCCATTTTAAAGTTATTTGTTTCTTTAGTAATATAATAGTTTATTTTGACACCATTTTGTGCCTTTTTCCATCTCAGTTGTAATCCCTGTGACATTATACATTTTATACAATAGGAACTAAAGAGAAAAGTTAAATGACCTCTCTAAGATCAAAGAATGATCAGAAAGAGACTTGAATTCTGAGCCAGCAGCACGAGCCGCAGACTTTCCCTGCAGATGGTGCTGGGCCTGGCAGACATGAACACCTGTTCACTCCCAAATCCACCTCAGGATTCCCCAGTGGAGGGTACTTACCTGGTACAGTTGAAAGGGATGGTGTCTGATCCAATTATTTTTTATAAAGATTTATTTATTTATGCACAAAGGATGGGGTATAGCCACAGGTGCAGGGGGGAAGAGAGACAGAGTGGGGAGCAGAACAGGTGGAGCTACTGAAATACTCTGCTGAGGGGAGCAGCAGGTGAGACAGGAGAGGTCTGCTGCACCATGTGGGTCACCTCCTTGGTGGGGGATTGAACTTGTGCTGCAGTGGCTGCAGATAGCTTCATAGTGCTAAGCTTCGGCCTGTTAGCCACCAGGGAGGGCCCTCTCAGCCAGTTATTGGTAATAATACTTGATAGTGGTTTTAAGACAAGAATCAAAGATTTTTACAACTCAAACTTTATGTCAAAATGAGAACATATGTTCATTAGCTCCAATTTTTTGCATATATATTTAATATGGGCTGCATGTTAACTGCCAAGTCAGCCTCTGGGATTCAGATGTGTTTTCTAAGTTCATTATATGTCATTTTCTAGGCGTTATATAACCATTATGTACAGACTGTATTTGAAAAATAAAATTTAAGTTACCAAAGTTGTATACTATTTCAAATGAACTGAGTATTCAGATTTTTCTCTTGAATTAATTTTTTCCATTTGAGTTTAATTTAGTTAGTGAAACTGTGGTTTGACTTATTTTGGGTAAAGATCACATAACATCACACTGAGTATTATCAGACTTAATTTGAGATAGTGCTGGGTAAGCTTAGGGCTGGAGGCAAAAGAGGAAATTATGTTTTAAAGTATTAATAGTTCGACTTTCAAATGCATGAAAGTAATAAATGTATTACTTTTTACACTTAAAAGATGAAATATAATTGTTTTCATTGTAGAGGCACTCATTTCTCAACTTTTAAATATACTCATAAAAGAAAAAGAATTTCTCAGTCCCAATAATGAAAATTAATTCCTCCATATATAAACTTACACACATAATAGGGTATGGAACTTCTTTACATCATTGTATGATTTTTCCCTTTGCATTAAAAAATGAAACAGAACTGGGTCCTCCCTGGTGGTGCAACAGGTTAAAGTATAGCACTATGAAGCAATCCACAGCCACTGCAACACGAGCTGGATTCCCAGCCCAGGAGGTGAACCCCATGGCACAGCAGACCTCTCCTGTCTCCCCGCTGCTCCCTTCAGCAGTATATTTTAGTCAGTCTGCCAGTCTGCCTGTTCTGCTCCCCACTCTGTCTCTGGTGAACCTCTCACTGCCCCACCCACACCTCTGGCCTGTTCCCCAGTTCTTGTATACACAAATAAATAAATCTTAAAAAAAAAAAAGTGAAACAGAACTTTTAAATATAGAAAACATGGGACATTTGGCAATGGGCCTACACAGAGAGATGGGGTCACAGACCCTAAATACAGAAAAAAAGCATGGACTTCAGTGTTCCATCATATGTGAGTGGGAAACAAATTAATGAGAGGGCTAGCTCATTTCAGTTCTTTTGTCTGATAATCAAAACAATAATCACTACTATGAAGAAAAAATAGAAAGAACACACAACAGTGGACAACCCAAAGGCTTTCTCACTAGATGGTCACCTCCATGAAGACAGGCCTCTGTGCCTCATCATTGGATAGCCAAAAACTAACCCCTGATGCTGAATGTGTATTCTCATGGGAAGATAAAGAAAATTAGTCTCCATTTGTCCTTCTGGGACCAAAGGTTGAAGTCTGTTAAAGTTCTCAGCATCAGGCTGCCTGATGTGGGGAGCAAGTTGGTGATCCTGGATCAAGTGATGGTCAGCAGGGTCTGCCTTGGGGGTTTCCACCTACCCAGCCTATGACAAATCAGGAAGGGGTTCACAGAGCCGCTACCAGGCTGGGTGATATTGCCACTCCTTTCCCCCCAGCTTTAAGGTTTTTTTTTTTGTTTTTTTTTTTTTTAAGATTTAACTTTTTATGCATATAAGAACGAGGTACAGGCAAGAAGCATGAGGTGGGGGTGAGATGATTCACCAAAGACAGAGTAGAGAACAGAACAGGCAGATCTACTGAAATACACAATTGAGGGAGCAGCTGGTGAGACAGGAGAGATCTGCTGTGCCATGTGGGTCAGTTCCTTGGCCAGGGATTGAACTCGTGCTGCAGTGGCTGTGGACAGCTTCGTAGTGCTGCACTTTAACCCCTTGTACCACCTGGAAAGTCTGCTTTCACACATTTTTGAGCCCGTAAGCCTGGGAAGAGTCCTTGTGATTTTCCTAGGAGTTCTTAATGCTTTTCTATAGGAGAGGAAACTCCAGATGGACACAGCCGACAGGCGAACTGGAGTTGCCAGGGAACTCTTACAGAGCGAGAGAGAATATGTGCAGATGCTGGAAATCGTGAGAGATGTTTACGTAACACCACTGAAAGCAGCATTGTCATCAAACAGAGCAATTTTGAGTGCTGCTAATATCCAGATCACTTTCTCTGATATTCTACGCATTTTAAGTCTCAACAGGTAAGCCCTGCATATAGCAATCTTTTAAATATTCATTATCAGGTGGGAAGAACCACACTCAATTGTTTTAAAAGCTATATAGAGACTTTGTCATTTTTTGCTTCTGATGATCTCATGGACAACTCTTGCCACTGGGCTGTGACCAGCAGTGACAATTCTCAGGGACTTAGCTCATCCTAAGCCATGGAGTAGGAGTGGTGCTCCAGGTCCTTGGGTCTCTGCAGGCCTGCCCTCTGATGGACTGGCCCGCCCCAGAAGTACACGTCCACCGCCACACCCACAGCTCCTGCACCCCGCCGTCCCTCCCAAACAGGTTCCGGGGAGCAGCCACAGTTGCATGTCAGAGAAGTATTCTGGATATTCAGTATCTTGTTCACACAAAAGGCCATGGGAAGAAGAGCCGCTCGTAGCCCTGCTTAATGGGCAGTGTTCAGTTGAGCAATGGGAATGAAACCAAAGGGTTTAATAGGATTAAGTGATGAGGGTGCTTTGTGTAGGCTGGGAGTCAGCGCAACAACAGTATGTGTCAAGTTTATAGCACTGGCAGACAAAAGTGTTCACTTGCACTGCTGGTAATGTAAGACAAGTCGAGCCTGTGCTTCTTGGACAGTAATTTCTAGGTAACTCGGAACAAGTCCCTGACCCTCAGTGAGCCCCACTGTCTACAAAGTAGAGCAATTGAGTTTGGCCTCTTCTCATTTGTACCTCAGGTCCTCAGAGAAATGGCGGGCGGAGGTGTATGCAGACAGGGCTCGACGCAGGAGCACCCTGCTCTGGCCTGTGAAAAACCTTCACCCACCCATGGGATGGGTGATGAGGGGATGGGCACGTGAGGGAGGCCAGCTGGCTCGCTGACTCCTGGAATTAAGGTGAAGAAGAGGGTATCTGTCACAGTCGGCCCCCTCCTCACGTCCCAGCAACTCTGTCCCTGTCACATCAGAAGGGTTCTACGTGGAGACAAACCATTTGACGAGAGCACCACCACGGATGGCTGGGCGGACCCAGGCTGCATTCATGCCAATGAATTTATTTTTTCACTTTTTAGATTACCACTGACCAATATTTCACCATCATGCTTTTCTATTTTACAGGCAGTTTCTAAATCACCTGAGAGACAGACTACAGGAATGGGGTCCAGCTCAGTGTGTGGGGGAAATATTCACCAAGTTTGGAAGGCAGTTGAACACATACACCAATTTCTTCAACAATTACCCTGTTGTTCTGAAAACTATTGAGAAGGTAAATGACTGAATTCCTATCCAGGCATTCATCAGAGCTTGTGAGCATGAAAGGAAGTTCTGTGTGTGACCCAAAGGGCTGGAACTAACAGGGGAGGTTTCTTCTCAGCTTGTAGTGTCAGATCTCCAGCTCACTGTGAGCTACTTGGATGTATCTCCCGATATATTGAATTGGATGTCACTGGGAGCTAACACAGAGCTTGACAGGAGCAGGGCGCAGGAGCTGGCTGTTGGGCTGAACTCATCCTCATATAAACAGCCAGACTTTCCTCAGCCCCTGATAGTCTGTGGCTCAGGCACACAAAAATATTGTCAGGTGGAAGCACAAACATGAGCTCTGAGTTCATTCAGTCACTGCAGTCCTTTGTGGTCTTGACAAGTTCAGCTTTCTTAGGGAGAAAAGGAAGAAACAATTCACATTTCTTAGAATAAGGCCGCTCAATTTGTGAGACCTTCCTGGGAAATGAGGACTATCTTCTATTCCTTACTGAGTCCATTAGAAACCACTTTCCCTCTGTGCCATATTCGGGGAGCAGGAATATTCAACTGCCTCTGTATCACTTGCTTCTCTTCTTGGGATCTCTTCTGAGAATAGCAAGATCCTCCTTTCTTCTCTCCCTGAGTTGCATTGGCAGGTAGCAGAAGAGGCCACCTTGTGAGGTGTGGCACTGCCAGGGACACTGTATCCACCTTGCTGTCTGCATGGAGGCCCAGGGCCTGTGCGAATGAGGCAACTTCAACCAATCACGTTTTCCACCAGATTCCCCCCACCTCTGGGTGGAGAACAAGAGCTACTGGAGATCAAGAGTCTCCCAGGGTCCTATTTCCTTTCTGTGCCTCAAATAACTGATCATATTTCTGATTCATTGTGACAAGAACTGGAGCAAAGTATCATATTATCAGAAGCAAATTGGTGCCCATATTGTATGGATAATAATAATCTATTTCACTAGCACAGGGTGTGTAAGTACATATACAGTAAACATTTGTGATAAGTGTTATTGAAATCAGTGAATGCTAACATTAGTATTACTGGCACCTTTTAGGCATGTTTGGGGGAAAATGAGGGTACTTTTTAGCTAATGGTGATGGATGAATACATTTTTAAACAGATATTAAGTAGGGGGTGAATCGATGAGTTAATGGTGGTGGGTGGACACTGGATTTTTGGTGGACACTACAATGAAGGAAGCAGAGGTGTTGAAATATAAAGCTGTACACACAAAACTTTTTCAATATTGTGAATCACTGTCACCTCAGGGAAAAAACCTCTCTCACAATAATAGCAATTAAGTTCAGTGGATCCCTTTATAATGTTATTGTGGAAAAAGGGTTTGCCAGCAGTATTATAGGTAAATATTATTAGAAGTTTTTTGTACTAAGGAAATTTTGCTGTGTGACAGGGTGACTTAATGGATAGAATTGTTCCTCCTCATCAAAAGAATTAGGTAAAATAGGCACAAAAAGACTGAGGTTCAGAGCAGTTAAAATAACTGGACAAGAACACAAAGGATTACATAGAATTAGATTAAAATTTTAAATTGAAACCAGGCAACCTTGCTTGCAAAGACAATTTTCATTTGTCTATACTGATTAAGTTCAGTGAATAGCCTTAGGCCTGTGGTCTAAATAATACACTATTTAGTATATTAGTAAGCACCAATAGTACTCACAATACTGACTTGAGGTAATGTTACTTGAGGTAACACTCCCTGGAGTGTTTCTGAGCTCACTCAGTTTGCTGGGGAGCACTGTCCTATTGAGCAAAGCTTTGACAATATGCTCACCTTTCAGAACAGGGAGATGATACCGTCATTCCGTGCTTTCTTGAAGAGACACGATAAGACCATAGCTACCAAGATGCTGAGGTAAGTAGCGAGGGAGAGAGAGCGCAGCTGGCACTACCCAAGGACAGTGCATTCTGTGACCTTCAGAAAGACACTGGGGTCCCTTCTCTGCCTCATACAGCCTGCCGGAGCTGCTTTTATACCCATCCCGAAGATTCGAGGAGTATCTTAATCTTCTCTATGCTCTGAGGCTTCATACTCCTGCAGAACATATTGACCGTGGGGACTTGACAACTGCAATTGACCAGATCAAAAAATATAAAGGTTATATAGACCAGGTTGGTTGCTTTGAAGAATGTGTGTCCTTTTAAAAAAGATCAAATTGTTTTCATGACACTCGAACTCAAAGACATGCCTTCTCCTCTTGTGATGTTCTTTACTTCCACCATTGAGCTCAGTGACTCTGGGTACAGGGAAACATAAGCCAAACAACACGAGACAAACTGTTTCCAGATATGAGAATAATAAGCGTTTACCAACATGCAAGTCTGAAGACCAGGTGGGGTATTTGGATTGGCTTTTCTAGAAAACATAAAGGAAAAAACCCAAAATATAAAATCCTTTGTTTCTGAAAGAAGTTGATTAGTCAGTTTTCCTTCCTTGGTAAACACAGCAGAACAGAGCTGTGTGGAGCAAAGCGCTGTGGCTGTGAAGGCGTCAGCAGTGGCCCGTGAGTCCAGCATGGGCCCCCGGGCTGCGTATAAATTCACACATGGAGCTTTTTAGTATAGTCGGATGTCACCTTGTGGGGCAACAGTGTTGACTGCGGCGCTGGTGAGGGAGAGAGACTCAGAGCCCACGTGGAGCAGTGAGACGCCTGGAGGGGACACATGGGGGTGTGATGTGCAGCCCCACCCACAGGCAGCCTCGTATTGGTTGGGATTGGGCACAAGGTGCGGGAAGTACTAGGGAGAGTTCCCATGTGGGTGATGGGATCCGGGATGCAAGCTGGGGTGGCCTGACCAGGGGCCATTGCCTGGGGGGCTCCATTATTCCTGCCAGGCCAAGCGTGTTATCTCTATTCTAATATCTGCCTGCTGTTTCAGCAGACACTGGTTTCCCAGTATGTTCCTCGCTGGGACTTTTGCTCTTGGCGAGAGGCCCCTGCCTGCCCCTACCTGCCCCTACCCCTAGCTGACAAGCAGGCGCTCTGGGCCTTAGGACAATATTCTCAGAGCAAAGGGGACTGAGGACCCCCCAGACGGATCACATGCTTTGTTTTAAAGCATTGTGTACAGAAGATGAAGATTTTAATTATAGCTAATGAAATATGGAACTGTAAATCAAGTGCTATAAGAAATCTATTTCTTTTCAATATAAAAATCGCACAATTTTACTTTACCTAAAGTCATATTGTTTTCTAGGTGAGACATCACGCCAGTATGAAAGCCCAGCTGTCAGACATACAGAGTGTCATCTGGGGGTGTCCTGTACGTATTCTGCTTACTTTATCTCATGCTATGTAACTTCAAGTCACTGGCCATGGGGACATCCAGATGTCGTTCAGCTAACATCTGTTGAGTGTCTGCGCTGTGCCAGGTGCTGCCAAGCATCCCATTTTATATCCTTGTTATCCTCTTCTCATACAGCGGAGATGCTGTATGAGAAGAGGCACAAGTGGGCTTGACCCCATCCCATAACCCTCCTGCAGTCTGAACTCATTGCTTGCGGCTTCTGTGACCTGCCTTGAGGAAAGGGGCTGTGTCTTCCATTTCTTTACCTCTCCCTGCACATGGTACCTGGGACAGGACTCGGTGCACTAAGGGAAGTCCTTTGTTTGCTACTGGCCACCAGTAGCTACTATTCTACCTTCTCTCTGCTTTGCCTGCCACATAGTGACCAAGCTCCACAGATCTACTCCGAACTCCCAGTAACACTGGCTTCTCATCACACATTTGTGCTTTACTCAGGATCCTTTTGTGGAAGTTGCCTTCCTTTCCTGCTCTTCTGGATAAACTGCTATTTATCCTTCAAAAATCCCATTATCTTCCTTGTAGTATTTCCCCAACATCTCCAGCTATGAGTTGCATCTTCCTAGGTGTTGTGCAGCATCTAATACGTTGCCATCACACTTAATTGCAATGCTTTCTTCATCAGACTGGGACCTCCCTGAGGAGCCATGGCTGAATTATCTTCGGCAATAGGTAGATCATAGATCAACACATGAACATATTCAATGGAAGTATCTGTGGATCTTATAATTTGCTCAAATTGGGGAGGCAAGATGAATGTTTTGTCAGAATTTTGATCTTTACATTTTAATAGGGGAAGAGAAGTGTGGTGAAGCCCCAACGCTTAGAATTCATAGAGTCCATGAACTTGATCTCTGGGTCACTGTTCATACCAAGTGAGCATATCCCTACTGAGATCAGTATAAGAACCTGATCTCTTAATTTATAACAATTTACTCATTTTCTTTTCTTGATAGATCACTTCTTACCCACCCCACCCCACTTTTTAAAAAAAAGTTATTTATGCATACCACAGCTTGGGTATAGGCCAGAGGCGTGGGGAGCAGATCTGATGGATCTACTGAAATACACTGCTGAGAGGAGCAGCGGGTGAGACAGAGAGGTCTGCTGTGCCATGTGGGTCACCCCCGGGGTGGGGATGGAACTTGTTCTGCAATGGCTGCTGAGAGCTTCATAGTGCTGAGACTTAACCCCTTGTGCCCCCAGCGAGACCGCCCACCCCACTTTTTGATCTTACAAATAAAGCAACGAGTTCAGTAGTTTTAAAAATTAGGTCATACACACAGAGTTTTTATTTCAACTCTGGTTTTTTAGAGAAAACATGTTTTATAAACAATGAAAACATCCACTTTTTCATAACTGAACTGAGTTTTACTCCATAACTATATATTCCGGCATATAAAACCTTTTCTGTAATAGTGAAACTTTTTATTTTCTAAAAATTGTATTTCTAATTTTTTTTTTTAATTTCACAGACTTTATCAGAAGTCAGTAGATATCTTATTAGGACCCAAGATGTAGCCCAACTTCATTGTTGTGACAAGGATATATGTTTCTCTTTAAGGTAAACGCTTAACTACACTACAGCTACGATTATGCCTTACTCATCTTTGTTCCTGGTGTCCATAACCAAGTCTGACATGTTGTGGGTTATGGCAGATCTTGGTGTGGAGCTGAAAAGTTATTCCAATACCCTCTGAGATAATGGTACTTTATCACCTATTCCAGGCAGTTACTGGGTAGAAAGCGAGAAAATACATTGTTTCTGCCACGACCACAAACTACATTAGCAGGAATTCTGCAGATTGGCTATTTTCCTACAGGGAGGAGACCCAGGTGTTACCGGATATGACACCATTGATCTCAATTATAAGAAAGAGAAACCCAGTTCAGTGTCTACAAGAAGTTATTGAAGTCAGCAGTAAGTCTCACCATAAAACCATGATTAGGTTGAAATATCACCATGTCTGGAGTGCAGTACTCACTGTAAGAACAGAACAGAACAGAAGATGGGAGAGTGCCAGTTTCCATAAGCCAGTATCCCCTTTTCTCTTTTAGAACCAAGTGGGCACATTTTTTTTTTTCTGTAAAGGGTCAGTTGATAAATATTCTAGCTCTGGCTGGCTAAATGATCTCTGTGTCAACTACCTAGCTTTGCATTGTAGCAAAAAAGCAGCTAGAAAAAACACACATTGCATAACAAAGAATACACTTTTTATAAATAATACATCAATGACCATGGCTGTGTTCCAATATGAGTTTATTTACCAGAACAAATGGTGGAGCCTTAGTTTGCTTTAGAAAATTGTTGCCAAATTATGTTCTCAAAATTAATGCTAAAGGTGACAACTTCACAAATAGAACCAAATGGAGATGAATTAACTGTTAATTTGTCCAACTGCAAAAAGAGAGAAATAAAAATTGTCTTGTCTGTTATTGGAATGAATATGTTAGTGAAATACTTCCAAAAGCATAGGAGGGGGGTAGTTGAAAGAAGGAAATCCCCTCCACCCTGTCTCCACGTAGAGTGGATCTGAAATGAAATTCAGATTACACAATTGTTGATTTCTCATCGTGGCTTTATTTCATTTTGTTGTTTTGGACCAGTAGCAATAGAAAAAAATCTACAATGATAGACAAAAACTAGTGACTAAACCAGCAATTCTAAACACACTTGTGTAGTAGGAACTGTGCTAGGAATTGCTTCCATGTTGGAGAATTAGAATTGCCTTCAGGTATTCATTGTAAAGCACTTTTGCTTTCTTTATGTATGTCTGAGTTTCCTACATCTCTGATTTTCCTTCTTTCTGAAGAACCTCTTTTACCAGTCCTTGCTAGGGTGGTCTACTGGTAAATCATTCCCTCTATTTTTGTTTGAGAGAATATTTCTCCACCACTTCTGAGGGATTTTGCTGGTATAGAATTCTAGGTTAGGGGAATTTTTCTTTCAACATTTTCTCATTCATTCTCTTCTGCATGGTTTCTGAAGAGAACTCCAGTATAATTAAAAAAAATTTTTTAGAAAGTTATTTATGTATACAGAACTGAGGTACAGACTAGAGGTGCAGGGGCGGTGAGAGGATTCACCAGAGACAGAGTGGGGAGCAGAACAGATAGACTGATGAAATACACTGCTGAGGGGAGCAGCAAGAAAGTGGGTCAAAGAGACCTGCCTCGCAATGTGGGCCACCTCCTCACTGCCAGGATCAAACTTGCTCTGAAGTACTGCAGTGAGTTTCTCAGCATTGCACTTCAACCTGTTGCGCTACCAGGGAATGCCCACCAATATAATTCTTGTCTCACTGTAGGTAAGGGAATGGTTTTGCTGTCCAGGTTCTTTGAAGATTTTTTTCTTTGTTTCTGATTTATTGGAGTTTCAATGTGATATGTATAGATATTTTTTTTTTTTTTTTGGTATTAATCCTGTTCGGTGATCTGTAAGTCATTATTACTTTAGACCTAAGCTTTTTCTTTTTTCTTCTCCATTGATAATCCCACTAGACATGTGTTACACCTTCTGTAATTGTCCCACATTTCTTGAATATCCTGCTTCTTCCATTTTTTTCCCAGTCGTATTTCTCTTTTCTTTATAGTTCCCTAAGTTTTTATTGCTATGTCTTCCAGCTCGCTGATTCTGTCTCTCAAAGGCTTTACACACTTCTCGTAAAATGTTGATTCCTTGTATTTTTACTTCTTAGTTTCCATCACTTTTTATCTTACCTGCTTATTTATCTTTTTTAAAGATTTATTTATTTATGCATACAAGAACTGGGGTACAGGCCAGAGGTACAAGGGGTTGAGAGTATTCACCAGAGACAGAGTGGGGAGCAGAACAGGCAGATCAACTAAGTACACACTGCTGAGGGGAGCAGTAGGTGGGTCAGGAGAGGTCTGCCATGCCAGGTGGGTCACCTCCCTGGCCAGGAATTGATCTTGTGCTGCAGTGGCTGTGGATAGCTTTACAGTGCTGCACCATGACCTATTGTGCCACCAGGGAGGGCCCATTATATCTTACCTATTTATAATTCCATGTTCACTTTTCCCATTAGTGTTCTTCTTTATCACAGTTACTTTAATTTCTTGATCTGATAATTCCATATTGACTCTGGTTCTGATGCTTGTCTTAATTTGTCTTTTCAATTACATGCCTCATAATTTTTTGTTGAAACCAGACATGATGTATTGGTTTAAAGTAACTGGAGTAAATAGGCCTGTAGTGTGAGGTTTGTTTCACTGGTTAGATGTTAGCCTGTGTTTACCGTTATTGTGGTGTCGGAGGCCACAATTTTCTCAAGTGTCCTTATTTGTGTCTCACCCCTTTCCTTTATCAAATCCTTAAATCTGCTCTGAACCTCCCCCCCCCCCCAATGTGGGGGATTCCCACTGATGTGGTTTTAAGACTGTGAGAGGAGTCCTAACATTAAGGCGCATAGTTTAGTGCGTGCTCCTGAGCTGCGACCTTCACAAGTGCTCCTCAGCTTTTTATTTTTCTCCCAAGCATGGTGGGAAGGCCAGAGGGAGCTGGGGTTGGGTGTTTCCCCTCCCTAGTGTTTGCCCAGTTCTGGTATATTCCCTTGAGGGGTGCCCTTTGTTAAGCCCAGAAATCTCTGTGTGTTTCAAATTTCTTTTTCCCTCCCCATGGGAAAAAATGAAGGGATTTTTCTTAGCTCTTCACAGTAAAACCCTGGAACACCCAAGTTTTAAATGCATACAAGTGCGGGGGTAGGGGGTTGATTCCCTGAGGCTAAGCCTCTGGAGTTTTTAAATCTCTTAAAACTACCTCACACCCAGTTTCTACTAATTAGTCAGTTATCAAAGAAATAGTCTTACTGTTGCTGGCTCAAGTTTCTGAGTCCAGTAAATTATCTGTATCTCCAGCCTGGTTGTTTACTTTGTGATGGATCTGAGTATCCAGCTTCTTTTTTGTTATGTGAACAGAGGTGATGCCTTTCAAGTGCTTTACACGCGCAACCAGAAAAAGCCTACATTTACTAGAATTTAGACCTCTTTCTTCACTATTTCAACAGAGTACACTTGAGATTTTGAGGACAATGGGGGAGTACTGATTACTTTATATCCTAATTATGAGGTACACATATTTAAATAGGCACTATCAATGATTTGTCAAACAATTAACACCATTTTATATAATATGTGAAAGTAAAACAGCACATATTCCAAAAGGTAGAGTATTTAGCCTGTAATCTTGTTTCTGTCATTTTAGAAAGTCACGTAAAACTCAACAACAAATACCATTCCCATAATTCCCACCAGAGGTTAATATTTAGCGGAACTCTGCTCGGTGAGTCAAGTGGGACTGCAACCATGTTCTTTCTGCATGGGAATGCGAACTCAAGTTATCTAATGGGACTAATAAAAGCTGGTCTGGAACTCAACACTAGGTCTCAGCGCTCTCTTCACTGATAACCCAGCAGGTGGAAAGATGAAACAAGCCTTCTTCATCAACTCCCCAAGTAGCCAAGAAATTACTAATAAAGAAGATCTGTAACACAGAAATATTTGCTCTATAAATGAAAACATTTTCTCTGGGCTAGAGATGAGGTCATAGCATCATTTCAGAGCCAGGACATTTGGAGGCATTTGTCCCTCTGTGGATAAAGCACACCAATTTTAGTTTATTTAGTTTTTATAATATTGTTACCTGGGTCCTCGTGTGTTGTAGTTTTTTCAGAAATACCAATTTGATTTCTGTGACTGTGGACATGCTGACTTTTAGTATTTGTGTCTTTGCAATGGGGTCTTGCCAACGGTATAAAAATGGAGCCACTGAAACTGGAGAGGCATGTACTTGTCAGCAGATGGAGCCTTTGCTCCTCAGGCTCCAGGGCCCCTAGTGGGAAGCCCTGCTACACTGCCCCCAGTGCTATGTCAACTTCAAGCTTCCCCGAAGGGATCTACGGTAATTTCCAGGGGTAACTGCTGCCGGGGAAAGGAAGTACCCAGACTTATTAGGGACAATGAATTCTGTGGGAGTTGGCTCTTAGCCTGCATCCATGTGTCAGAGCATGAACATCTAGGGCTAGGTGATGTTTGGCTTTGATCTTCACAGAACCAGTGGCCTGCTGTTGTTCATGTCAAAAGTTGTGTTTAGAATATTCCTTTTGAAGATTTATTTGTAGAAGTTGGGTTCTTCTTTTGGACTGGCTAATGTCAACACCACCTCTAGAATGGCATTAAAAGTTTTAACTATAGACCTGTCCTATTTTGCTGAGTCATTGAACCTACTTGTGAATAAGCAAGGAAATCCTATCCAAGTCCAGGGGGAAAGTCTACCCTTTGAACTGATTCATTTGAATGTGTCTGTGACTTTCTGAAACCTGAGGATTCAGTTTCTACTTCAACTGCTCCATTATGACAATAGGAAAGGTGAATGGTTTGTCTTTGCATATGTGGAGAAATTGCTACTTTTTAAAAAATAGTCTGGTGTTTTCGTTTTTTGGTAGACAATTGTTGGAGATCTTGAAGGCTTCAATTTAGTAAATGGATTTTGAAAAGTTTTCTAAATAAAACTCAGATTTATATGTATTTTAAATAGCCCTCTCCTAGCAGCTTCAGATAACAGAAGCTTCTTTGTGTGTTTATCTGTCCTGCTTCTGTCCTCAGATTACAAGTGACCTCAACTCCAGGCTCCGGTTAATGTGCCTGTTCCTGCCCTTGTCTCTGCCAACAACCACCAGGTCCAAGTGGGTCACAAAACTGGGATTCACTTTTGTTTACCTCCATTCTCAGTGTTGTCTCTTCCAAAGGAAAAAAAACCGAACATGTTTACCAAAGCCAGCAACCCTTTCAAAGCCACCTGGTAGTCACATTCCCTGATAATGCAGATAAACAGCCAAGTTTATGACAGCCTTAAACATTTCCTAAACTGTTATGCTAGAAGTGCGTGCCAAAGTGATATTGCCAAGGAAAGGGGAAGAATGTGGGTGCAGTCCTCTGCCTTGTTAAACGGGCATTTATCACTTATAGCGCATCATACTTGAAGTGCATGTCTTTTATGCTTCCTCTCTATCCCTAGTTCCATATACTAGATTGTTACCAGAAAATTCTGTTTTATTTTTTACAAGAGATCAGCTTATTTCTTACAAGATGCCAGAAAATGTGAAGCACCCCGCTCTTTCTACCCTAAGTCATAACCATGGAGCAGGGAAATGGAAGAGGGAAGAGCTGGCCCCAAGGTCGTGTGAGCACCGCATACCACATGCTCGCTGTCCACAGGCCACCACAATCTGCACTTTCAAACACTCCAAATAGCTGAACCTGCAGCTCAGCACTGTTTAAAATGTTTGTCTCCCTGATCTAACCCTTGGCCAGCAAATAGGCACAGCTGTGACTAATAAATGACGTAAGTGCCTCACTATTCAGTGTGTGGCCTGCGTGGCAGCGTTACCAGAGCGCTTATTCGAAATTCAGTTCAGGTGACTCTGGTTGTCCTAAGAATTTACATCTTAGCAGAATTTCCAGGTAATGCAGATGTCCATTAACACCTATATTATGTGTAAATCAGGACATTTATCAAATAAAGTGGATTCAAATGTGATTTATACAGCTTTAATGGAGGACAATCTTTGAAAAAATACAGCAAACTTCCAAGCAATTCTAACCTCAGAAAGCCTGATAAAAATAAGAGCATATGTAAAGAATTTGTTTACAAGGATCAATTTATTCCAACATTGCTCACACTCACAATAAAGACCAAATGAAAGGCTGAGAGAGGGAGAAGCCAGGAGAGACTCATCTCTAAACGGAACAAATGTCCACCAAAAGGGAATACCCAACAAAAGCCAAGAGTTGGATAACGGAGGGTCCACCCCAACCGTAAATGACATACCAGTCAGCTCAAACTCATTTCCATTGCTAAGTGAGAACAAGAGAAGTGTGAATATTACCATTTTTGTAAAGCAATGGCAACCAATTTACAAATAGATATGCATATATGTACATGTGTGTGAGTAGCTGACTTAGTTAAAAATAAAGGGAAAGACAGTACCAGTTCAGTGCTGTCTACCTTAAGTAGAGGGTGGAGTAAGCTAAGCAAAAGTGAAATGAAGAAAGTACACCAAAAAAGGGCAACAGTATGATATTAACACTTATGTAAAGCTATATGTGGACTTAAACTTGGTATTGAAACATTGAACAGAGATGGTGAAGACAAAAATCAGCAAGTTGACTACTTTTCTGAATTTCGAGGGTTGTTTGATGCTTCAAGAACAAACTTTGGCTACCCTCTATCAAATACCAAGCTTTTACCTTGGGGTGGGGTGCATCTTCCCCTAGTTCCTTGCTACCATCACCTGATGCCGGAGTACACAGAAACCTGTATCCAGGTTCCCACAATGCAAAAGCAGCGTGAGAACTGATGGTGGTTGAGGAAAATCTTATCCATCTATAACTTCGCTCAGTTACCATGGTAGCAACGGTAGTGAAAATGAAGAGCCAACCTTCTAACCTTTTCTTACTGATGATCTAGATGTATCTATCCATTTCCCGCCAATCAAAATGAGAAATTTTCCTGTTTTATGCTTAGCCAAGTACAATGCTTTTCTTGACCTTATGCCATATTGGTTCTGGTTTCCCCTCCCCATCTGTAAACTTTGAAGATGAAACAAAACACAAACTTATATTATCGCCAAATACAAAAATACCAAGCGTGACATTAGCTTAAAGATTGTTTTAGGCCCTCCCTGGTGGTACAACTGGTTAGGAGGCAGCATTGCAAGCTGGCCACAGCTGCTTCAGTGTGAGTTGCATCCCCTGCCCTGGAGGTGACTCACATGGCACAGCAGTATACTTCGCAGATCTGCCTGTTCTGCTCCCACTGTTTCTGGTGAAGCCTCTCACTGCCCCTGCACCTCTGGCCTGTACCCCAGTTCTGTATGCATAAATAAAGTTTTACCATCTTTCATGTCCTAAGATAAGTGCAACATTGCTTCTCCCTACATGGATAGAATACTCATCTAGTGGGCAAGCTCAAACCATCCACTACCCACAGTACTGGTCTGAGATACACAAGAAGGTATCTTTACACAAGTAGGAAACTGCTCCCAGAACTTGAATGAGCCTTCCCAGGGGGCAAAAGTCTCAATTATTGGCTTGTGTGAGAGCACACACCGACACACGTGCTCCTTCTAAAACTGCTTCTGCTCCATCTTACACAGGCTCTATGAACATACGCAAGACCTCAGTCTTTTCCTCTTCAACGATGCCCTGCTTATTTCCAGTCGAAGCACATCTCATACCCCATTTGAAAGAAGTTCAAAATCAACCTACCAGTTCATTGCATCAGTAGCCCTTCATAGTTTACTCATTGAAGATATTCCAGATTCCAAGTGTATGTATGCTTTTCCTTCTAAGAGTTAAGTACCTTTACAAATGTATTATATAATGCTCATTGACAATTAACATGGAAATGTAGGAATAAACCTAGAACTATAATTGGCTCATTTGCAAATAATACCTCCAGTATTAGGATTTCATTAATGTCATCTTTCATCCAGCGCCTCTGAAACATGGCAAAGCCTGCTGGCATTGTCAGACACGCACTCTATAGACATTAGGAACATCTTTCCAAAATACAGCTACGTCAGTTCTTTGAAGCTGTGTTCTTAAGTGTGACACTATAATGTTCATGGTATAGATCTTTCCTGTATTTGTTAGGTCAAATAATCTGAATGACGCATTTCATTCCAGCATTTTTCACTGTAGAGGCAGGAGTTAAGGTTAAAACTGGAACCAAGATCTCACTGGAGGAACTAATCTAAAGACAGCTGCTCCTTAGTAACTTCACTTTAAAACCTTAGCCTGAAATTAGGGACCAAGTATAGGAATATTTCCAGAGGATAAACTCAGGTATAATGGGTTAGTTACCTATAACCATTTGGAATAGTATTCGAAATACCTTTTCAGCTCCCCTTAGTCATCTATGTGTGATGTCAAAACACTTTTATGTAACCCATAGATTGTGGACATTCTGTTAAATGGTTTAATTCTGTCATTGGCCCTCACATCAGGATTATCCATGTCTAGTTTTCAGCATCTCTATCTAGAATGACTATTAATAATAATCATTACTGATTCCAACTCCTCCTGGAGTAGTCAAGACAAGGAATTCAAGAACACTGTGTGAACTATCAGTCTTTTAAAGTAATTGCTAAATTATAACTAAATAATGCAATATAAGTGCACAATTATCTTAGATTATGTTTGAATTATTCAGTAATTGAAGTTATATTCTAAACTGGGTATTTGAACTAAATAAAATTAAAAACAACAGCCAATTCTTATAATTAAAAATACTCTTTTTGACTGTTACCTGCAATATTTATTAGTGTACCTTAAATGTTTTCACAGATATCAAGAATGCATTTATTCTTCAAGGTCCAAAACGTGAATGGATTTGTGCCACAGAGGTTGAGGATGATAAATTCCTCTGGCTGTCAGTACTCCAAAATGCCATCAAAAGTAGTATGGAGAAATACGCCTGGACTTGAAAACAGTGAGATGCCAGCTCTCCCTGGCAGAGACATACAGTATGTGTTCTGTTCCGAAGAGCCTGTAAGGGACAGGATGATCTGTCATGTATGATGAGAATGGATGAACTAGGATGATCTGTAAAGTTCCTCCTAACCTTTCAACTTTATCTCTGTTCAACTACATAAAAGTTCTCTGGTGGTCTAGTGGTTAGGTTTCGCTGCTCTCAACTACATAAAAGTATAGTGAGAAATATCTTAGCCCCCAAATTTAAACCACTTCTCTGGGTAGTTATTTTTCATGGACATTGTAATTTAACCTGATGAAACCTAAGATATAAATAAGTATATTATGCATTAAGTTTTGTCTTGTGAGCCAATGAAAAATAAAATCAGAATAAAGTTTCTTACATGACTGGGATAGAAATAATATAATTTGATGGTGATTTACTAGTCACCTTTAACATTTTCATAAAATACTCATTTAAAAAATATTGGCCCTCCCTGGTGGCGCAGCGGGTTAAAGCACTGCAACGAGAAGCTAAAGCCACTTCCACATGAATACCATACCCGCCTACCCCGGAGGTGCCCAGATGGCGTGGCAGACCTCTCCTGCCCCGCCGCTGCTCCCCTCAGCAGTGTACTTCGTTGATCTGCCTGTTCTGCTCCCCACTCTGTCTCTGGTGAAGCCTCTCACCACCCCTGAGCCTCTGGCCTGTACCCCAGTTCTGTATGTACAAATATATTTTAAAAAAAAAAATATTAAGTGTATTTTTGGGGAGAGGATTAGAACTGCACTACTACCAAGTAGTAAAAGATTTTCTGTAATTTTTAAGTGCTCTTTGATTACAAAATAACCTTAAAGAAGTATATGACATTGTTAAATTAGTAGGCTACTTGGGGAAAAAAATTTTTTTAAGTGGGAATGCAAGATTATGCAGCTGAGTAAAAATGAAAAAATTTACAGTTGTTTTAAAATAGAAACTGCATGATGTTCAGAAGCTTTTGGGGTCTTCAGTCTTTATTCATAACCTGCTAGCACTTGGAAACTTTAGCTGATGTACGTAGTAGTAATACTTTTACTTAATGTGAGATAGAGCATGACTCTTGGAAGCCTTGGTTGTCAGTTCCTTTTGACTTCAAATTCTCTTATAAAATCTACTAATACAGTCTGGGACTCTGAACTTGGATATTTTAAATATTTTCTTCTTTAAAAAATGCAGGTAAATTAAAATATTGTGCTGTTTATTCATGTAAAACCACCGTTGATTATGTTATGACCTCACCATGCAGTCTGAAATCTATGACCCCATAGACAGAATCCATCATAAAGGATTATATATGTTTGTTAGTCAGCTATACATGCATATTTACAAATATGATCAAAATATGTATTAACATTACATAAAACAAATTTGAAGAGGGGATACTGAGTAAAGCATAATTCAAAAACGCTTTGTTAATGGGGAAAAAATCTATCTACAAGACAAAAGAATGAGTGACAAGACAGCCGAAGGTAAACTAGAAATCTTAAGGAATTTCCATTTATTCTATAAATAATATTCTCAGAAGTTTAAAATATTATTTGAAAATAAATCTCTGTAGAGATTGATCTAAGCTTCTTAGAGTTAAGCACATGAAGCATGCCAAGAATGATGTTTTCAAGTGAGACAATACTTAACTCTGGGGTTCTGACACTTTCCATCCACTACTAGGGGACAAGAAAGAAATGGCTGTTTTCCTACAACCACTGAATTAAAATTTCACACACAAAAAAATCAAGTCACTAGTGAAACTGATCAAATTTTCAGAAGGAAAATAACTGACCCTGAGTTGACATGAAGAAGTCTGAAAAATATCACCTGCCTGCTAAAGAACAGTGACTCATGTAAAGATTATGGTTACAGAATCCCCATCTAATATACTCCTTTTCAATAAAAATTAAGTAGGAAACTCATTTGGGGGATTTTTTTCATAGAAAAAATATAGATGCTTTTTATAAATCATGAAACATAAAAGACAAATAGATAATTAATTTTGTCCTCCTTTGCAAAGAATTTTGAATCTGTGCTTGAGACATCAACGAGAAGCCCAGGTGTGAGGTTTTGGCCTCACAGCACGATGAATCAATGTGCACTCCTGACGCTCTGGAATAGCAAGGGTGGACTGTGCCAACAAACACAATGTACCCTCCAGAAAAAGTCATCCTGACCCTTTTATTGTTGAAATTAAAAAATAAAAGATACTTAAATACAATGGTGAACATATAGGGCAAAACAGAATCATAAAATTTAATGATGAATTAAGCAGTGAGCTGATGTTTGGGTCTCCAAATTGGCTTTGAACCCAAAACCACTTAAAAATAGTTATGTTCACAGTTAACGGCAATTGGCTTATAGATGAGAGAATGGTCGAAGTTGTTCCAGTTGAACTTCCAGGGAAATTCTCTCTTCAAGAACATCCTGAAAAAAGACAAGAAGCCCAAGTTGTTTTTCAAAGATTATAAAAAAAGAAAAGCTTATTAAAAACAGCCCTGCACCAAGAAAACAATTTAAATTTGTGGAGAAGACAAAGGATATCTATTCTTATTTTTAAAAGGGTAATTGACTTAGAAGGTAGTTTCTTTGTATGTGTGTATTATCAAAAAGATCTTAATTAAACCTTTATTTTATTACATGCATTAGGTGAATACAAAAAAAATTTTTTTGGTCTATTTATTAAAAAAGCCAGTCTTTGCAAATGATGGCTATAAATACATAAACTTTGCTGGAGCCCAGACCCCTGCAGTAACTCCAGGTAGGCCTGTCAACAGATTCTTTTCCCCTGGTGACTATATCTGGCCATAGCAAATCCCAAATCTCATGCTGAGTTTCAGTTTCACAAACAAACAACAAACAAACTAACTTACTTTACAATAAGAATTCCAATCATTTCAGTGTTTTCAGATAGCCACCAAATTCTAATTTACTTTTCCTTTTTTTTCTACTAACAGTATGGTATTTTAACAGAAATTCTTCAATTTAGGACCATACTTCTTTTTTGTTCTTGGAGAAAAATAATTTTAAAAAGACTCATATATTTCTTCTATGGTTTTCTCTAGCTCTAAGAGCTAGAAAAACACCCATTAACTAGATTTTCATCTTATAGATTGTTCTTATAAACAAATTTACAATCTTTCAAATGTTTCAAATATCTTCGATTGAGGATTTATACAAGAATGTCATTCATTCAACAGACATTTATCAAATGCATACCATCTGCTAGGTTATGTGGCTAGAGACATGGTGGTCACACATTTATCCAGAATTGTTCGAATTTACCCAGAAAGTCTTGGATGAAATATTAACCTATCTTTTATTCTTTTCCCTCAAAAGTGTCTTGGCCTAGACAATATGTTATATAGTCACCCTAAACAGAAATGATTGTTTTATCCACAATGAGTTCAGTTTAATAGGGCACAGAGATAAACATGCCATGAACCATGAATAATAATTTTAAGAGAGTGTAGATAAAAGATAAGAACAAATGTTATAGGAATAAACTGACTCTACCAATCATTTTACGTTATCTATCGACTCCTCTCATTTTTTTGTGGTGTGTATAACCCTGGCAGTCACAAGGGGGTTAACAGTCCAGGAGCAGCGCCATCCCCTGGAAGCTTATTAAAAATACAGATTTCTCAGGCCCTACTCCATCACTACTTATGAATCACTGTTTGCATTTTCACACAATCCCAGGTTAACTGTGTATACATAAAGGTTTGAGAACTACTAGTTTAGAAGCCATGAGTGCTCAATAATGTTGGTGAATAATGCGGCTCTGACTTTAATTTTTATTCATAGGAATTCAAAGAAATAATAATATCTCTTCCAAATGCAAGGTGATCTAAATTACTCCCATCCCTTCTTTCAGACCTATTTAAGTCCCTATTATAGTATTTGAGTTGTCTTTGACAAAAGCATAAGCTAAAAATACTCAAATCATCTCAGAATTAAATAGTGTAGAGAGTCATGCATGTATGTGATCCTGGAGGTACCTGAACTCGCTTATTTTATCTCTTAGTTTTCTTTATGAAAAGGAACCTTATAGGAACAGTGATGCTTTATTATAAATAGATTGAGGCAATGCATATCAAAATTGAGTAGAAAAGTTCCTCTTACCATTAAGATTCAAAAGCTTACAAAGATTTTACATTTTTCTTGCTATACAGAAATTTTCACATAAGACTAAAACTGCTTAATGACCTCTAAATTCCTGTTCAACTTACATGCTGTGAGTCCATGGGAATTCCCACAGAAATTACATTACCTTTAATTGTTGTTGCAATTCACTATTTAATCTGGCCAAAACGGTGTTGGTTTCCTTATTGCGTCGAATTGATGCCTGAATGGCTTTCTTATCTTTCCCAACAGATCTATGATGATAAAGAGAGCAAAAAACCGGGACTTTCATTTTTTTATCTTTAAATTCTTTAAAAGTTTTAAATTCTCTCCATTTGTCCCTGATCTATTTTTAAATCCAGAAAGAAGAGACAGTCTTTTGTCTTCTCTTTGCTCAGCATCAATGGGGAACATAGTATATAAACTATGTCATTGTCATTGTTGTTTTAATGATTCTTCTTTAGTAGAATCATTAAATCTAGTTTGAATCTAAAGGAAGAATCTGCAGATTTGCCATTAATGGTCAGTAGCAATTAACAGTAAATATATTAGGCTAAACAGTCTATACAGTTTCCAATGTAAATTTTGTTTTTGTTTATTTTCTCTTTTTCAGTCTTTTTCTCTTCTTCTTCTTTTTTTTAATTTAAAAGTTCATTTACTCCTGAGTAAAATGCATCCGTGCAGCTCAACTTTTGGCATCCCAAAAATGATTCATTTATGTTCAGTCATGTCAAAAACTTTCTGAGCTTACCCTTACCTCTTAGATACCTATCTCTCAGTGACTGTTCTCTTCTGCTGTTCACAAAAATTTAAAAGCCACTCGTAGCTCAAAGACCTTACAAGAATGGGCAGAATGCAGTCATCAGCTATAGCCTGCCAACTTCTAATCTAGAGCCATCAGTTAGATGATCAGT